TTTTTTGGCTAAAGAAGGTAAAGGTTTAGGGATTTGTTTTTCTCGCCATTCCTTAATTTCTTTAGCAAGTATTTCTTTGATTTCTTTTTCTTTCCTGGCTTTTTCTTGCCATTCTTGAACACCAGGCATTCAGTTATTTAAGGCCTCTTGAAGATTAGCTAAATATTCTTGCTCCTCTTTTTCCAAATCATTTATATGTTCTTGACAATCAGCAATTTCTTTTAAGGATTCTTTTAAGGATTCTTTTAAGGATTCTTTTCTTTTTTGGTCTCTTTTCACTAATTCCTTATAAACCAACTGTTGAAGAGGATGAGTATAATCAGCTGCTATCATTTCTTCAATGATTAGATTTAGTTCAACTGGTAATTTATTTTGGGAGTAAAATTGTTTTCGTGCTAAATACTCTCTAATTCAAACTGCTGGTCTAAAGGCTTATTAAGTTTGCTAACTAGTTCTCATTGTCTTTTTCAGCTACTTTCTATAGTATATAGACTCTGTTGCTGAGTTTTTCAGGCTTTTTCAGAGATTTTTTAAACTGTGTGATGACGCAAGCCTATACGATGACGTATTCCTTCCTAAATTTCTGTGAAACTATTCGTGCCACCGGGGATCGGCGACGGAAATTTAATAAAACAGTGGTACCAAGAATAACGGTAGTACTAGCAGCAGAATGTAGTACTAGCAGCGGAATGTAGTACTAACAACGGTCGCACTAGCAGCGCATTAGTAGCGCAATAGCAGCAAAATGTAATAGTCAAAGAAAGAATAGTGATAGACGTAGAAAATGATTAGAAGTTAGCAATTAGTAATCCGATGCTAAAAATAGATTAATTAGTCCGCCTGAAAGATATAAAAGCAGCGTAGGATAGACTTAGCATCGGTGTGTTCAAACGAGTGTTCTCAGTGTTCAAGTGTTCAATTTAGTGTTCGCAAGATATTTCTATCGAAGACGTTCGATACCCCTTAGTATATTTTATTCTTGTTAATGAACGAATATCCATTTATTCTGAAACGATAATTCTTTTCCTAGAATTTTCCGTTATATTTTGAAAGCATTAATCCGTATAACGGCAAGATCGGTTGTAATACTTGTCTCGCAATCGATTGAGTGGCACTAAGATAATTAACTATTATTTCGCAGCGCGCATTATTTCTTAATAAGACCCCAACCTACAGACTACCGAATTAATCCACCGGTAGAGAGTAGTTTTGTTCTCGAGAGTAGTTAATTATCTAGGAGGGTCCGTATCATTTCACCGAAAATTATTTCACCGACGTAATATTTCACCGACAATCATTTCGTCGACAATCATTTCGCCGACAATCATTTTACCGACATAGTCACCAACATTATTTCAAAATTATCCTTTTTTGGTAGTGTTGTCGGCGAAATGATTGTCGGCGAAATGATTGTCGACGAAATGATTGTCGGTGAAATCTTACGTCGGTGAAATGATTTTCGGCGTTATGATCGTCTTCCATCTAGGATTAGTGTGTGTGACACGTATAGGTATACGTTAGCATTTGAAAAGCCTAACCTAAAGGTCACTAACTGTTTGTTAAGGTTTAGCTATCGCTGAGGTGAGCCACACTCCTACGACGGCGCAGCTAGATCCCAAACCGAGACAGTAGTTATCCGCTCTCCCGTGACTATTGCCTCGACAACTGCCATTGTAATCAGCAAAGTCTTGGTAATCAGTATTGCAATATGTTACTTTTTGTTTATTATTTATGTTATTCATAATAAGTATTTTTATAGCTTATCAGTTCAATTTATATTTTTTATATATAGAGATAATCCTATATTAATCACATTATGGTTTATATTCATCACCTTCTGGTATGATAAAGTGAGCATTAAAATTAACAAGTCCATTCTTACTTCAAAGTCATCAATCACCCTGGTCAAATTTACAGCCACATCATAATCAGCCTCTCATTTATGTCACATAGTCAAATGTTCACTTTGTTTGGTTTTGTTGCAGCATGCCCCATATAATAATTTAACAGTCCGTTGACTGGTCAGATTTCTGGTTGAAAATAGAAAGCTTAACATAGAAGCTTATTACTTATTCTTTTGTGATAACACCAGAACATATTACCCTTTATTGTGCTAAAAGTGTAGTATTTACACGTATGCAAATTTCTAAGACAAAATTTGAGTAAGCAGAATTTTCTTCTAAAGCAATGATAACAGGAATTTTATTGATTGTGAGGACAGTTAAAATTGCTCCTCATCAGACCTGTTGCTCAATTCGACGTCGGTTATGGTTAGAACTTCTTTGCGGTGTTTCCTGAAGTTATTTTTTGGGTCGAGAACAAGTTCCCAGTCTCTTAGGAACAAGCTCCGCCAATATTCATACACTCACCTGCCAAAATTATTTTCGGATCGGCAAAATCTACTATTAAAACATGTCTTTTTTCACCCCCAACTGATAATAAATTTTACATTTTTGGAAGCCAATTAATTATAGTTTATGAAAAAAGGCATAAAAATTTTATTCATATTTGATTATGAAGTTATAATGTCATGTTCTGCTCTTCACCATTAATAATTTCTCGATTGTCGATTTATATAAATTTAAGCACGCGTCTTCAAAACCTTTACTATAATAAACCTGCGCGCCGCTGCTCTCCCCGACATTTCGGAAACCTAGATTTAACTAAAGACATTTCAAGCTCAACGGCTTCATGCAATTCAGGATTTAAATGTTATTGGATCAGCGTGCCAGAACCAGAGTCCTTGCGAATTGCTTGTAGAAAACGACCTTTCACTCGTGAGTACGGCAGACGGTGACATAAAAGCGAATCAGTTGTTGGGCATGGGTCGGATACTGTCATATTCGAATCACGCACGTGCATGTAATGAACGAGTCGTCGTCAAATTTAGTTTCAGTTTCACTTCGGACGTTCTGGAACGTGAATCACAAGTCTTGAAGATACTCAAGGAAGTCAAAGATATTCCGATGTAACACTGCCAATCAGCTGAACCCTTGTGTGATCTGGAACAATTTAACGCCGTATTAGATAAAATGGTGAGTAGTGATAATAATAGAGTGGGTAATGTTTTATATGAAATGGTTTGGAGCCTCTCACAAGTCAGAAGGCAAATAATGTTGAAGTTTTAATTTGCGGAAATACTAAAACTAGAAATTTTAATTAAATTGCGGACAGAGTGGGAAATAGCTAATCCATAAGCTCAAATTTTTAACAAATGAGGTGTCTTTATGTACAAAGAGATTTAGACCGCATATTATTATATTTGACTGGTTTAGGAGATTATTTCGAGGCGTAACTCAATTATTTTTACGAGATGTTACGGTACGGTAATTATTGTGCCAATTTCTCCACTTCCTTTAATTTGGTACATTGTCAACAACTTTAGCAAACGTTATTATTAAATTGTGTACACAACAATATTAATACTATAATAGGTTCTAATAATTAATATAAAACAGAAGATAATTCGTGTTTATTACTATTGCTACGCGTCGTGTCTTTTATTAATTAATTAATGAAACATTAATGTAAAATCTTTTGATCGCCAAATGATAATTCATATTCCATCTAATATTAGTCGCTCAATATAATGATGCTACATTTGGTACAATATGTTTGAAAATGTGATCAGAATTAAAGACTGGTTACTTTATACATCAATACCAGGAAAAACTGTGGTGCGAAACAACCGGACAATGAAACGGACGACCTCCGGCGCTTCGATAACCGTGCTCAATTTGCACGACCAACATATACACCAATCACTGTTCATTATACGCAAGCGTTATATTAATTAATTATAGAATGTTGTTCATTCACAATATTTACTTTGGTTATATCACATATACTTGTTTTTGATTTACTACTACTACTACTACTACCAGATGCAATGTTTTGTAAAAGCAATACTTAGAGATGTGTTCCTACATTTCCTACATTACCTTTTTTTTAAAGAAAACAATAAAAAAGCTAGATTTCTACACTAGGAGAGTCTATATGAATTCATGCGTGGTTACATGAGATGAAGAAATATACAAGAGAAAAAAAAAAGCAGATCAATTGAATGATCTTAAATATTTCGATCCATGTATGTTTAATATGAAATTTACAAGAGACTAGAAATGCTGCTATATATTAAAAATGTATTCAAAAAACGTATTCTATTTTAATATTTACGCAACACGTATTTCCGTTCACTTCAACTACCTGTCATTATTATGTATATATATATAGATATAGATAGATATTTTGATTGCCACACGCCACCCCCATCCTTTTTCTGATTATCTACAACCTTTTTTTTTTCGCTTTCGCCTCTTATAGCTGTACTTGAACGGGGTGTGGAAATTGGTTGTGTCGTTTGAGCGGCATTGCTACTGACTGTCGAATGCCATTACCATTTCCATTAGGATCATTATTTGGTGTAGATTTCTTGCATCGCTCGATGATTTCGATCGATGCTTCTATAATCTGGGCGTGTACCAGGACAGCAGATTTCCTAGCATCCAATAACTATCATATTAAGTAAAAGTAAATTTTCAGTTAACATCTATAAATTATTCGCAATGTTGAAATTAAATATAAATGTATATCAAATCTATATAACGTACCTTCCAGTTAACCTCAAACAAGTCATGGAACGCATCTTGAACTCTTCGTTGCCAGTCGTTGGACATTCTAATATCTCCATTGTCCACGGCTTCTTTATCCCGGTCGGTGTTGAGGAAGAATGTTAAATCCGGGGAAGGAATGTTGATGTAAGAAGCTTTGCACCAATTGATTTCCAAGCCTGCCGCCGCTGAAGATGCGATGGCCGTATAAATGTAATGATCAACTATTAACGTTATACCGTTGGCTAGATGCTCACGCATCGTGGGACTGGAAAATAACAACATTTGGACGGAATGAGTATATGTAGGCACACAACGTTGGAAAAAAAGCGACGTTTTCTTGATTCTTTACTTACACTAACTCCCACCAGTGCGCAGCAATCAACAAATGCAATGCTCTTGGTTGTGAATGTCCATTATTCTGCCGATGTTTCGTTAATGCTTCACCAGCCGGAGTAGATGCATCGGGGAACTTCCATAATTTCGCCTTGATACCCTCGTTTTTCAAAAACTCTAGCAGCTTGGTAGCTTGCATAGTAGTCGAGCCGTCCTCGTAACCCTCGAGGACGATCAATGCACCACGAGAGGACGGGGGTGCTGAGGGTGTGGTAGGTGAAGCGCCCGGAGCAAGCGGACTGAGCAGAGGCTGAGATGGGCTGCGTGAAAAACTAGGCATTCGAGGTATACTTGGAATGTTGACGGTCGACCGTATAATTTCACTTGGCAATTGTTTGGCGCCTCTAAGATTAGATAGTTCTTTAGCGCCACGTTCAATGATAACAACGGATTGGTTAGAAGCCATTCTGTGACTGACGATATCCGTAGATCGTCTCTCAGTCTTTGCATTAATCTCTACCAGAAAATTATCCATTACGCTTTCCCGGGTTGCATCTCGGGGCTTAATATTCTTGATGATAGGACCCGCCCTCCGTCGTGGCTGATATTTATAATCAGGGTATGCCCTCATATGACTTTCTTTGGCCTCTTCGGCTTTGCGCTTCCATTCCTCTCTCTCTTCCTCGGAAAGATTCTTCCAATGATCAGCAACAATGCGGGATATTTCGGAGTTATTAATACCCGGGTTTTGATTGAGGATTAAAGGGTGGTGATGTTGTCTATATAAGATGAACGAATTGGGTGGACGTGGGATGTAGGGTTTTTTCTGTTTAGTTGTAGACTTGGAGGTCTTGTTGTCCATCTCGTCTATATTAAGTTGAGAATCTTGAAGACGTCGGCGTTTGGTATCAAAGTCAGCGGGAGTATCTAGCTGCCTCTTGTTTGTTTGAGGCGAGCTTGGAGCAGTCGATATGGGGGAGGAACACCATTCATCGTGATTGATCAAATTAGATATGCTCGCAGCCGAGTGTGGATTAGTTGGAGAAAGTGCGCTGTTTGGGGAAGAAGAGCGTATCTCACAGTTTGAAGGCGAGGGGAGTTGCTCGGTATGTTCGGTATGTTCGGTATGTTCGGTATTGTCTTCGCTGTGTGTTTCGGGAGTTTCTGCTGGTGTGCTCATTTTTCTCTGACGATAAAAAACTGAAGATGTGTATTTTGGGGGAGTTACGGGTCAGTTATTGCGGGGTATTTATGTTGTAGCAGTTTAAAAGAATGCCTTGTTTTTATATACTTAAAATAAAATTCAATTTACTTCAAAGCAATTGTTACGGTGTGGTTTATTGTATCTCAGTATTATTGGTCAACAATAAAACCCTAAATTCAACATTTCTATAATTGTCGAACTTGACCTGAGTATCTTCCAATACGAACAATGTATCAAACAAACAACCAAAATCTCTTGTTACATCTTAAAACAAAGAAAAAATTGATTGACTAATGAGACGAAGTCTACTGAAGAATGAATAAATTTCGAGTTCCAAAATAGTATTTGATTGATGAATATAAAGATGGGAGGAAGGGAGGGTGAGGGGAAGGGAGGAAAGGAATGAATGAATATAAAGACATGTCTATGCTGGGGGGAAGAAAGGGAGGAGTGGGCAAAATGATGTGCATGAGAATGTGTTTCGAGTGATGTAAACATTGAATGGCAGAGTGCAGCGGAAGTCATAACAATAGCGGGGAGGGTAATGTACCTGGGGATGGGTTGAATACCAGCGAACATATATGGCTTTGTTTGATGACTGTTTCAATTAACATCGTCATCATGCGTGGGATGTCTGTTATGATGGGATGAGCTTTTCCCCCAACCCTTATTATCATATCACTATATATTAGCCAATGAGGTAGAGTTTTGAACAATGGAACAATATATAATAATAATAATAATAAAGTTGGCGTATTCCAATTGGACCGGGTCTTTGATGTCGTTACTTTACAACGACGTATATATACACATTGTCTATACTATATATTACGGTATTGAGAGCGGTTTTGCTTCTTCTTTGTGCGGTATGGTTATGTTATCATTACTCTTACTGTTAATTCAAATCTCGGTCATTATGTCCACTAATAATGACCATCCATTCATTCATACATTTATTCGTTTCATTGAGTAACAAGGACATTGGACAAAGAGATGCCTGGACCTTTTTCGCTCGCACAAAATGCACGAATATCAAAGCATCCAAACGTTCTTGCGATTGGCCATATGCTCATGCTGTCTGTTCAGCAGTTCATACAATAGTACTACGAAGTTAATTTGGGGGAAGGGGGGACAGCTTCATTGTCTGGATTACAAATATGATACAATAATGTAACTAGGGTTATAATAATTGTAAAATATGATTCAGCGAATATCCGTAAACTATAACAACAATTAATAATTGTTATTAATAAATATTCGAAATTAATAAAACAATCACCATTCGAATCATATTGTCATATCATGTCATAATGCCGTTATTATCATCACTACGATTCCTATTAGCCTAATTTTTACTGCCACTACGTAATTTAGAAACAATAACCACCCTCATCGTTTACCACGCCCCTATTCACAATTATTCCGTCTTGTTCCTCTTATTTATCCGTTCGTGCAAGCATCTAATCTTCTCTGTGCCCTGTAAACGGTATTACAAGAAATATTAAGGTATAACTCGAGGAATGGACCGATTGCAGATGATGCATGGCGAAAAACAGTCACCACCTTATTAAACTGTGCGACAGAATTCGCATCTAGAAGTCTATTTTCATTGAGAATCATCCATTGTTCTCCCTGCTCAGTAAGAAACAAAAAAGGAATATAGCATTCAAAAGTGTGGGAGTCGGAACAGCTCATAGAAGGTTAAGATAATGATTGTAGATTTTAGGTTCAGCAAATAACATATCGAGTTTCAAGGTTCAAACGAGGTACAAAAAGTAATACCATCAAACCTTTTATTATCAAATGTGGAAAACTGTTGTAAATTGTCATGTATCCTAATACATTATGGCGAATCCCATATCTTTGTCTCGTTACAGCTCTGAATGTGAAAAGTACGGATATGAACAAGTCGTTGACTAATTGAATGTATGACAGCCATGTAAACAGAAGCCTATTTATAGAGTTGGCACGCGCGTATATACAAGTAAATAAAGTGAATTGCTAAAACGTAACCAGAATGAAATAAGAAATAAAAAATAGCTCGTTTGTCATTCAAACAAATCGCTCATGGCAACTCGGTTCCTGCATACCCTTGCAGTCCTCCTTTCTCACGAGGTCTATCATTCTTTAGTCACTTGACAATGTATCGGTTACCTTGATGACAAACGAAGTTCTTTTCTTCCGTTCCCTATTCATTTATTTGTGCGATTATAACAAAGCAATACAATAAACGAATTATATCGAATATAGACATATTAAAGGACACAGACAATCCCAGTACTGCTTAAATTATTATTCTTTGTTAAAATCCTATTATATTGTTATTATTATTATTACTGCATATTCAAACATATATATATCTCTGTCCCGAATATTCTCATGTCGCTATTGTCTATTGTCAGTCGGCAAGCAACAATATCCAATCATGGAACAATCATCGTTACATGGCATTGTGCATGAGTAACCACCAACAACAAGGAATACTAAATTAAACCAATCAATCATATTTGTTACTTGGTGAAGAATGAGAACTGGTATAAGCAATGCTGATAAAGAGATAGAGAGAGAAAAGACGGTGGCGTAGACATATATCCCTTATTATTGGCAATATTAAATCAAATAATGACCATTTCGTTGTTGGAAGAAAGAATGAAAATAATATGTCGTACTGATATATTAATAAGAATGGAAAGAAAAGGCAATTAATAATGATAACGATAATGACTTTTTTTTTGAATTAGATATTGAAGATAAAGACGATTTGTCATCATGGTTATTATCCGGAACGAATGGTGAATTTTTTTGAGAGGACGTAATGATGTAATGATGTATTGATGTATTGATGTATTGATGTATTGATGTATTGATGTATTGATGTATTGAATCTCTGTCACTCGAGAAACCGTTTGGGAAACTTTTCACACAGTTTTTAAACTTGAACATTTTAGGTGTGTCAATAGGTAGTTCTGTTCTGGTTATTCCCACATGCAGTGCAGTGCCTTCGCTACATTCTCAGTAAAGATCTCATCTTGCGATTCTCTTTTTGTTCAAGCAACTTGCTAAACATGGCAAATCGTGAGAATGCGTTTGTCCTCTTTAAAAAATCTGAAACTGAATTCGTAAACCGTTGACATATACTTTCGCTAATAGTGCTGGGAAAATGGTGTCAACTTAGCCTCAAACGAATTAATGAAATCTGGCCCATCCACAGGATTTTACAGTAACTATAAAAAAATTTTTTATCGGACATAACCATTTTTAGAATCGATAATCGTTGTCCTTTGCGAGTGCCATCCCGTGTTCTACTTATTAATATTTCGTAATGATCACGGTCTTATCAGAAACATTCTCAAATGTATCAAATGACCCCGTATACGATATTTGCAATTTTACCAAGTTTTTAGCGTTTTGTCACTGAAACACTTTGTCCTTGGCCGAATTTGATAAAACAATCTGATATTGGTTCACTTCCTAATCTTTGCTATCAATAAAGTAGAGCCGAGAGTGTATATACTTCAATATACAGTATTTAATTTGTCTTTTCGAAGAATGCCTTGAGTTATCGTTGAACTCTGTCTTTGTTCATCAATTTGGTTTTTAATAAAAGAGATGGTTTGATTCGAGTTCGGTCGTAGCGTTTATTATTAGCGCAGAAAGTTATCCCACTATTAGTAATGTATACAAAGTCCAATTGGAATTGGGGAACTAATTTACCTACCACAAAAAAACTCTTTGTTGCGGTTCTTTGCCGTGAATGAGAATTATTTGCTACACAAACCGGACAAGGCGAACAGTTACAATTGCCGAGATTATAAAGTTCACGGAAATGCGGATAAAAGTGAGAATATTGACATTTGGGGACATCGGGTGGCACGTAACTTTCTGACGATAAATTTCTGGCTTTGTCGTCATGGTGTACAACGACATCCCTAACGGAGTTAGCAAACCTAAAAAGCTTTATCGTTATATACATCTATACAAGAGTAAATTGTCAACATTCTAGTGACAAATTCATCAATTAGAGCTTTTTACTCCACTTTCAATAGATTACTCGGCACGTTGCATAATAATACACTATTCCAATTCAGACGCTAAACTTGTTAAGCCGGACAAATTTGTTGAATTGTTGCGGTTCTTAAAAACTTACCGATTTTTGATGCCTATTAAGGTTGTAAAGACTTTAATTTCATAATTTAACATGACAGTTAACTGTTGATAAATAAAACGGCTGTCGATAAAGTGACTTGCTATCTGTGTCGACGAAACTATGTCGTCAATATTCGCAATGAGAGCATATTCAAATAAACGCATATCCCATGCCAATAATCTCCGTCTATCATTTTTATTATATTATTAACGCATCTTAAACTGGTGTTGTTTCCGTAAAGCAGCAATTATGATCAATAAAATATAATTTTACTTTCTACTTGTAACGTTATTAATTTATTTATTTATCTTTCCTGATTGTAGTTTGCAATACGCTTCCCGATAGAAGTTGGCATCCCGTTTACCTTGACCATAAAATATGTCAGGAGTTTGAGTCTTGGAACAACATAATTGACGTGTGGTACTAAAATACGTAAGATCTAAACGTTAACTATAGATTACATTTACAAAATGAATTTTATTATTAAATCTGGTTATAAACAGCAAAAGCTAAAAACATGGTCGGTCGCTACAAAATTGGCGTTTTTTCTCCTACTCGCTTAACCGAGTTTACAGTAATTATGCAAATACATGTTAAATAACAGAAATTTGCTATGTATTTAGATATCAAAATATATCTTGGGCAAGTCTTAATAATTTTTTTTTTTCAATAATGAAAGTTGCTGCTAGCATAAAAGAATTTTTTATCGAAAAAACCACAAAAAAATGGATAATTGGGATGGAATAATTTTACTCTCTATTATAATGGTACCAAACGTTTGTGAGTTTGCATAAACTGATATTAAAAACATATGAAAACAAAAACTTTTTAAAGTTTTTTATTTTGTATTAACAATATAAGTAGGGGTTATGTTTATATTGATTTGTATACAAAAATACTCTGTTATTATATAATACTGCAATTTAATGAAGAAAACGGTAAATAAACGCATATACACTGTGTAAAGAAGAACCAATGATGACAAAATTTTACATATCTGGGTAAGCGCATCAAATATAAAATAGTTAAATAAAACTTGAGGTGTCAAGGGTACTTTATTAGATGTGAAAACTTTAGTACGAAATTTATTACCATTTTAACAATCAACCGGGGCATACTGCAAAAAACGAACATCCTCCGGTTATGTAATATGGATGAGAGGCTAACCTGGTTAAAAGTTAAGTTAATTTGACATAACATTTTGATTATCACAATAATAATAATATAACTATAACCTGTACACAAATTTATGTAGCAAACTTTCATTACTGTCTAAAAATATACATGGTCAATATTAATACAGGATTCTCTATATAAATAAATTTATAACATAAAATTAATTTACATTAAATCTACTATAAAATCCAAAAATTACAGTATCATTAGAAGTCCCCATGTTTTTATTTAGATCAAGAAGAAATTAATTACGAAATTTACCAAGAAGAGCGAAAATAAAACCGTTAAACGAACACTAATGACGAACCCAAAAAAAGTAACTTGAGGAAACAAGTCCAACAGTCGTCTGTTAAATGGACTTACAATTTTTTTTTTTTAATAATTTTAAGAAAAATAACAATAATGTCAGTCAATCAATCAACACAAACGAGATGCTTTATTAGTTTTCTAAATTTACTGAGTGTTTGTCTTTACAAATAACTTGTACTATAAAATTTTAAGAGTGACAGTAAATAACAATTTTAAAACTCGTGGAATGAGTCGGTGAGATCGAAAACATTTTTTGCGTTCTCATTGTCAGATACGAAACATCATAAGTGCAGTTATTACGCCAATTGTGGAAGAATAAGAAGAGCTGCAAAAAAAATAGAAAAACATTTTACTTGAAAAAATGGTGTGTCAACTTATCTTGCCAACACAGCTGCATGCGTAATGTGCAACACAGTAAACTTTTTAAAAGATAGAGCTAATAATGGAAAATTGTTACTTAAAGCTTTAGTAACTGATTTAGGAAACAGTGTTTTTACTTACTCGGAAATTAGACCTAATGCTAAGGGAATTGCGTCCTTGTTACCAAAAAGCATAATAAAGATTAAGCCTGGTATTACAGAAATAATGTTTCTTGGAGATTGTTGCTTTGATCTCTGTTCAAGTAAACGAAGCTTTACTTTTTACATACGGTTGTCATTATGTGTGCGATCATTCTAAAATGTGAGTGAATTGGTATTAATGTTTATTCAATTTGTGTGCATCAATTATCATTGGCCACATTCTGCATACAGGGGAAAAGGTCTAGAGGAACTTTTATTCACAACGAGGTGCTCGCTAAAGCCCAGTTTAAGCTGTTTTTATCTTTTACATTGTAACTAAGAGAATAAAAGCCCAGAAAGTTCCTAGTACCCAGCCATGGCAAACAAAAATGTTCGGATCACGTGGAATTTCGGGTCGGAAGATACTTGTTGAACAGTAAACAAATCGCATGCCATATTTGTAAAGATAAACAAATTTTACACTTTTTGTTGTTATCACTAATGTTAGCTACTCAAATGTTTTCTAATTTTAACGCAACTGCCAAAAGTGAATTTCCGCTTTTCGAACCCAAGCATCTTACTGACTATATACTATGAGCACGTAAGGTTTCTTCATCTTTCAGCATAGACGTCTCATCAACGCCGTATTTCGTTTCTCAACTGCCCGCTCTGACGTCTCTTTCCCATTGTGTTTATCGGCTATTCTTCGCGATGATTTTTGTTCACAGATGCCCATCCTAGTAAGCGAATTTTCTTTGTTCTAACCGCTCGATCACTGTGTTGCTATCAGTTTATTTATCTATCTTATCTATGCATCCGTTCATCTATCACGTTTGTTATCTGATATATCGAATTATTCATTATTTATCAGCTCGTTCGTTGCTTTTCTTGTAGGCGATGTTCTATTCTGGGAAAGAATCCATCAAGCGAATATTGTTTTTCCCCATTCCTCTAACTTGGAAGATTTCCGCGAATTTTCTCCTGAATTTATATGACTATCCGGGAAAACAATATCATCTTGATAAATTCAAAAGGGCAGCTGATTGATAACAAGGGCGAAGAGGATCCTAAACAACTACCGTTCAAGCTTCCCTCAGAAATACCTGGATTACCAGACAATTGTGGAGGCACACTTTGCTTAAAGGACGTTACATTTGCCTTTGTCTCACGAAAGTCAAGGTTACTTATACGAAAACCTTATTTACAGCTAATCGAAGTACTTGAGGATGATCGTGCTAATGAGGGTAAAGCTGAACATGGTTGCGCTATTGTTGGCACAGCTGGTATAGGCAAAACCTACTTTGGATTATATTTTCTCTTTTATATCACCCGTCATTATCCCGATTCTGACATTGTTTGGCAAAATCCATGCAAATGCCTCTTATTTTCACCAAATCATCCAGCACAAAAAGGAAAAATTGATGATTTTGAAAATTAACTGCTGGACGAGAACGCTTTTATCTTGTTGATTCAGTAGTACCAGCTTTACCAGCTTCTGCATATGTTCTTCTGTTCTCATAGCCAAAACCTGAAAGATGGAACGAATTGGTGAAGAGTCGGGGCAACACTGTCTATTTGGACACCAGATGAAATTTGGGCCCTTTGGGATCAAGAATTTAAAAATATATCTAAAGACTGTATTCAAAAGTTGATAAATCAATGGGGACGATACCACGAATTGTTTTTGATAAATACCGAGATCCACCAAATTTGAAGCATCTGTTAGGCAAGTGCAAGATAGATTATGAATAAATTTATTGTAATCACTATCTGCATCGCGTTCCAGTATTACAGTACAGTTCCGACCACACTTTCCACATCTTCCAAATGTTTCTATACGTTTAGGTCATGAACCAAGTCTTTTATTGAAGGCTAGGATCATGGCTAAATTTAAAGGCTCTTACGTACAGGGAAGAAGCTACCGCAAATGTTTAAATTTTGATGTTTACACTTTACACATTTGAAATTTCGTCATCAGGATATAGAATATATTAATACACGCTGAATACCCCAAAATTTCTCAAAACTTAAAGAAAAAAGTTTAGGCAAACGTTAAGAATTGCTCCAAGACGTGTCCATTAATAAGTTGCTTTATACCACGAAGGGTAAATAGTGTAATTAAGAATAACTTTATTAATAACTACTGGGGTGCTAATTAATGGTCCACTACAGACAGCCAATCAAAAACGTCGACAAGCAAAAAGCAGAACAAAAAGTCTATACAAAAATGCTGCCCCTGAGGATTACTGGGCTTGCTGCTGTCTCTATAATTGAATGGGTAAGCGACTACAAATTATTTAATAATCCCTTAATTACGTACACTATGACTAAATTTAAACATTAATTGACTAAAAAAAAAACGACTTGGCGCCGTTTTAATGCCCTTTTAACCGAATTGAAGACATTTTGTGCAAACACACAAGTTGCATAAATGCGTCGCTAGGACTCGGAACACGTTTATAACGTATTATGCAACTAGATCGTTCTTGGCAAATTTTTTGGTTCTATGTATAATTTTTTGTTTGGTTGTTACTGGTTTTCCACAAAACATTGATAGTGATGTCGCTTGATTGAGATACAGTTGTAACAAAAAAATATCCTTTATTCAACTATACACATACAGAAGTGCAAACAAAATGCTTATAAAGTATTAGTTTAAATATAAAAATTTCATATTAAATTTTCTTGTTTTGAATAACTTGTTTACGCTGTCCTCAGAGTTTGATAAATAAATAAAAAAAAATATTTCCATTTTTTCACTAAGAATTGTTCCAACACACAATATTTTTACGCAAACATTTTCCACACTTTTTAACAATAACCATAAGTTTTTGATTGAGTCAAGGTTTGGACTGTTCGATGACCAGTCAATTACTTCTGGAAAATTTTTTAAAAAAATTTCGTGCAATATGACTGGTGTGTTTGGGGCCACTATTTTCCAACCATTTTTTAAATTCTGGCTTATATTTTTGAGTACTTTAACGTAAAAACACCGGTCATAATATTTTTTGAAATAAAAAAGTGATGTTTTTTCGTGAACACAGAAGCCGGCCCATGCAAAAAGTTTTGTTCGATCTTTAAAAAGGCAACGAGTTGGCGTCTACCCTTTCCTTCATTAAGCGAAAGTTGTATAATTTTGTCCAATATCTCATAATAGAAAACTACATAATATTTCCGTGTGGTGTACAATATATGGTTAAAATTAAGTTTTCTGTCAAATATGGTTTTCCTTGCACTGACCTCTTTGGTGACATCGGCATAATTATTAAGTTCGAAACGAAAGTATATTTTTGTGCTATCTGTAGTCGAGTGCTAGTTATTATCACACAGTTAACTCGTTAATTCAACGTCATAGAACCAAAGCTTAACTTTGGATTAGCAAGATATTTGGATTAACAAGTTTTGTTTCAATAAGCCAAATTCTGATTTCTACACAATATTTATTGTATTAAAAAGTTAGCGCTCCTCAATTTCTTAGTAAGAAATGTCAGAAAAAAAAGGTTGTCTTATTGTACTGATTAATGTGGCTATCTTTATCCACACAATGTTCGTTTTCATTCGGCAACGTTATTTCCAGCTATATAGAATATTTGTTAGAAGTCAGAAAAGAAAAGAATGTTTTACTGTACCGATTACTAGCTATTAGAATACGCAAATTGTATCTTTATCTGAACGTCATTAGTCTTTAAGCTCACGCTGACCCTACGCTGACCCTACGCTGACCCTACGCTTTTGACTTGCACTACTACGCCCGCCCGGTCTCACTATTATTGCTTACTCCAGTTTATCATCAAATCCACGAATTACTATACTAGAAATTTACCAATATCGATAACTGAAAAATGGGGTGACAATTTTGGGGGGCTTGACGGGATTACATAAAACACACATTATTTGTGAAGATAACAACATAAGCCATTCTTATTAATCATACGATTTTAATCATACTTAGGATTTTTAGCTTCTGCTTTCTATACGTGGTCTGAGAAATATTATTCTAAGCTTAATACAAAGCATAAGTCGTCATATTGACTTCCAGAACATAATAATAGTGGTTCCGGAACTCTGAATGTTCTTCTTAGTGAATAGGTGAGACTGGGGGCATACTTGTGAGTGAAAAGTCCTAGAACAATGTGAGATTAAAGAGTTATAATAGCGTATGGTAGCGTTTGGTAGCAGTACAAATACTTATCGACGGTATTGAATGGTTAAAAGAGTCAGTTTTATATTTGGGGTCTTTAGTAAGACATTTGACGGGATTTACATGGTTACGGGATTTACATACAACATACATATTTATAAATCAAGTTAATGCTTTACCCGTATATTTCGGCTATAATTAAATATAATAAACAGATAAATATTCAACAATTTAGAGAACGTAATAGTAACTATTATGACTGCATACCTCCATAAACCACCCAATTTCCCTTCGTCACTCCAGTAAGTGATTGTTTGAGCTCTTACTCAATGCAAAATCGTTACCACGACTACATGATATGTACAGTACACAGGTTACTCTTGAATATCGGACTGTCGAGTTAGAGTCACTGAACAAAGATCAGACTTTGTACTAATGCTCTGCCTGAGCTATTTATCGCTTGATAAGAAATCCCAGAAAATTAATTTACTATTCGTAGCATCAGAAGACATTGACTGCGATCCACAAAAAGATTTCGTAAATCCAGTATCTGAAAAGTAAGAGTATAGATAAAAACGGCAAAACTTACTTCCACTATTTACGACAAAGATACCGGTCGAGTTTACTTCATCTTCCCCCGAGTAAAGGGTGGTGTAACTGCGATTATTGAAACGTGAAAAATAAAAGAATAATTTCCTTGTCTATATTAATTATGCGTTATAAAATTTACTCACCTTCTGATAGAAGTAGTATATAGTATGAGAACAACTGTAACGACTTCTTAATCTCACCCATATGGTATTATTAGAGAACTACGTAAAGATGTAAGCCAAAGGTCTGTACAGTCTTTTCATCTTCATCGCTTCAGATACGTTATATTCCAGAGTGCCCAGTAATTTGATTCTAGAGATAGAAATCCAAATCTAAATGTTTGTAACGGAACGAAATAAGAACGAAAAGTTGGGTTTGCCTCATACTACCGATGCAATTTCTCCCAATGTTTAACGTCGCACAGCATAATCCTATATAAGGAGTAATTTTCAAAGATCCGCTGACTAATAGTAATACAGCATCTTCCGCGCAAATCATCGTCAACTTAACTAATACTGTTGGCCTAAAATGTCGGAATTATTGATAAATGTACACGACTTATTATTTATTATGTTGTTAATGTCTTTCCTCCTCAAATTGTCATTGCTCTGTATCGATCCACTCACAATTAATAACATTGCCCTATTCTTACTAACCTGCGTTCGTTGTGCGACTTCTATCCTACCAAAAAAAAAGGCGGCAGGGGACAATAATTATACATGCATATATGATGACAGTTTTTTTTTTCTTTTTATTGGCTTAGAGCAAAGTCTCCTGAAATAATGTGTGTTTTACTGATTACTTAATATGCATACCATGCATGCCCGACAGAAAAATTTTTACGTAATATTTGTAGTTGCTTTTTTTTTTTTTTGAAACCCAAAATTTTTGATTACATTATTATTAAAACTAAGCTACGGAATCGGGTCCGGTTTATTCACCGACAAAGAGAATAGTTATGAAATAATGTTGGGAAAATTTTGTCGGTAAAATGGTTGTCGTTGGAATAAACGCCTTGCGCGATGTTTATGCACAGGTATGAAAATATGTGTAAATAGATTTCGTAAACTAAATATTTGTTACATTGTTGTTCAAAAAATATAATCAATTACAGTCGACTCTCCCTAAATGCACAGAGAGGTGAGACCGTGCATTTAGGGAACAATCACTCACGGAGTGGTAAGACATGTTATGAGCACTAGTATTATTAGTAAAAGCATGTACTCTTTGCTTAATATAATATTAATACATTCTTATTCCTCAATTATACTTTATTGCAGTACTAATTACATTTATTCAAAATTAAATTAAAATAAGGTCTGATCAAACAGCTTGCATAAATTTTAGAAGGTCTGAGCAAAATGGGTTGATGTTAAGACATACGTTCTACAGCATAACTCTCCAATAAACGTTCGTAATTTAACGTCAATGATTTACTGTTCAATTTTATCTATATGCTGGAGTGACTGACATTACGACTTAAATGTAATCTTGCCTTGCCTGTATGACAATTTTTTTCAATTTATACTTAAATATATGTGTGCATTGGAGAGTTGTTCGCGAGCATGCATTTAGGGGGTGGCGATTTAGGGAGTGTGCACCCATTGTGGGAAAAAAAGATCCCGAGTCATGCGTCCACCACATCATACTGATGGCGAAATTATGTTACACCGTAAACCCACACGCTTTGATTCGTCTATTCTACAACATTCAGAACTTTTCCCAATCTATAACGGCAGACTCCGAAGAAAATCCTTTGCAGACGCCACTCCCATAAACCGCCGTATTAGTATTATCTATGGAGAGATTAAACGTTACAAAAATCATTATGGTTTACATAATACGACGGGCACCTATTAGGTAATTATAATCTACCAAACGCTTTTAGCATTAAGAGGGTATAAAATAACAGGAGTTATAATAATATTATATGGCTGCTGTAAATGGGGCCATTATTATTTTTCTTAATTAATGATTTAATAACCAGGAATTTATCCAATTCACGCCGGTTTTCTGTTGTGTTACGCAGTTATTAATAATTGTTACTTTGATAAAAATTAAATTTAATGACTTCTTCTGCTAATTAGTTATACGATGCGATCTAACATAACCGTTTCTCTGCTGATTATATTGTATTCGTTGCAGCATTATAGTTATTTATATTAATTCCAATATGTATATAAACAGTCGTTGAATCCTGGAAATTTCCTTAACAATTTGCGTAATTTGTATCGTTGAAATAGTTATTCGCCAAAAAACGAATGCCGGTAGATATTAGGAGGCAAGTTTATGTTAATAAACACATTTTCAGGTATTCGACTAGATGTAAAATAAAGAAAATAAGTTTGGCCTTCCCTTATTATTTGCGGTTAGCCTGTTGGTGGTCTGGCGGATACTATTAATTGAGAACAGCAACGATTAAATTGTAAAAATGTTTGTTTTACTGTAATAACCATTTTGAATATTGTTCAAAACAATTTCCTCGTATAATACCCTTTAGTTTACCTCACGGGTATATACTCAGTCAATTATGATGTTTAGCTGTGTATCCAAATCACTAGGCCTGTTCAATTCTGTCCCGTTTCGTTCTGTTCCGATCGACAGCAAAATTGTATCAACCAATCAGAAATCGGTGAGAATTGAGGACAAATTTCGCGTTCCCGTTCCGTTGTTTTCTTTTCACTCCAAGATTTCAAGTTTTATTCTTTACAAAAAATATATATAGTCTAAAAGCCATTAGAACCCTTTTGCGCAACGCAACCTTTTATTTTTTACGCTCATTAATAAAATGTGTGTGGGATGAGATGGGAACAGATAGGAACTGCAAATTTGTTGTTTCCATCGTTCCCATCATTTGATTTTTGATCCGCCAATCAGAAAACGGCACAAATTGAAACGAAACGGAACAGAATTGGACAAGTCTACTGTATTCAGTGATTACGGTAGCAATATAAAAATTTGTAAATAATTGGAATGATTACCACCTTTATGTTTGGCATTCTCAAAGATTTCATACACTATTACTTGATAGTAGTTTAATGTTTTACTAATAATTCTAAACTTAATTGCAACCTGACGCAATATTAAAAGATAAAATTGTTTAGAGCGTGTAAACAACTTACTTCGAGTGCTATCCGCTTCCGACAATCTTGGTGGAGTCTTTTTTCCGTTGAGCTAACCAATATATTAGCATAAGTTTTCTATTATAACCCTTTTTTTACACGTAGTTAATATATCCGATTTCAGTAATATGTTATGTGTAAGTGACAGCATTAGAGCTCGTCGTGTTGATCTGGTGTTGAGTTGAGATAAAGCTTATGAATAAAAACAAATTAACTTTATTGTATGCAAAAAAAAGGGCATAATTTATACTATTACTATATATAATTGTCTTAGCTTACATGACGGCTAAGAATTTTTTTTATTATTTAGACACGTATTAGTATCACATACAATTTTTTTATATATTGTTATTATAGCCTTGTGTAATTTCCAACATTGGTAAAAATACAATGGTGCAAAGCAGAAGCAATTTACAACCAATTATTTAGCAAACTCACTCACAAGTATTGGTGTGCATTCCTCCGTAAATGCACACCCCTGGAAATGAGTCAGAGGGAGTGGTGCATTTAAGGAGAGCCAGATTTTATTAGTATTATATATTAGTAAGTAAGATGCTCAAACAAATCCATCTATTGTTTGCTTTACCACACCCACACTTTAAATTAACGTTCAAGAAAGGCTTGCTGACAGCTCAGTTAACACAAACTTGCACGTTTTAACAACTTTTAGAGTTCTGTTGCTGCAAAATGAACGAACGTTTTAGTCTGGATTATCATAGCAATTCGAATAACGACACAACAAATTCTGACAGTATTAATAATAGTCTTTTTAAGTGTTTATTATTAGCGACGAAGATAACTTTAGCTTTAACAAAATGCAAACATACTGTATAACATAATACTTTGGCTTTCACAAGGTGTTATAAACGTTGTTGGTGTGACCGAAACAACTCGATGAGAATTAATTTTTATCTGGTCAAATAAATATGATCGGTAAATAGCTTTAATCTTGAGTCACAGATAGGTAACAATTTCCTGATCACTGTCACTGTTCTTTTTGACACCCTATCCCATCCAGTTGTTCAAATGAGAATACAATACCCAATTGTCTTATAGCAACGGGGCGTGCATTTAAGGTGGCATATGCCGAAGCATGAGAGCAATTATTTATATTACATTAGGTTTGCCAAATTTTCCGCGACAGAAGGAGTAGGCCACCAATACTTCCGAAAGGTTTCTCTTGCTGCTAAAGTATTATGAGTCAACCATAGAAGAATTAATTGGCTCGAGCAAAATACATGTAGTGGAAAAACCGTGGCAATACAAATATGGAGAATGTGCATTTGTGGAGTGTACAGTTATGGAGCATGCATCTATGAAGTGTTGTAATTATATACAACTTCATAAACGGTCAGTAAACGCACAATATATAATACAATTAAAAGGTTTTTGATTCGCGTTGAATTGGAACAGTGTGCGCCGAATATAATAATAATACCATGATTATAATACTAAACTTTAAGTCGAGCATGACACGCTCCTACCATAATAACAACCCCTCAACTGTACAGGTAAGTAACCCAACACGAATGTATGCAAAATTTTTGCTAAAATGTACATATTTGAGTATTGTGGTGTGCAATAGAGCCTCAACTTAGACTAATTTAGCAATGCGGGTTTTTTGTGGATTTGTATTTATACGTTGTATGATAATAATAGTAATAATGACTCTTTATTGTTGGCAACACAAACACAACGAAAATAAAATATAAGAAAGCACATAGCTGTGAAAAAAATTTTTGGTGAAGAAACCTGCGGTACAATAGCATGATAAGTGACAGCCGATAAAACGACAAACGTAAGTAAAGCAAGCTTAATTTGTAATATAAGTAAATTTCCAACACATTGAATTAATACATACACGGCAAATGCTTGTAAGTTTACAACAAACTTATTCCATCGTTAATTATTTTTTTTTACAAACGTACAGCACCCCCTCGGAGAAGATTTTTGTCTTGTTGGTCAACTCAGGGCACTTAATAAAGCGATTAATAATAACTCTAGACTTACAAAAAACCGAAATTTTGATTAAAAGTGCGGGCATATATTGTTGTCATTAAAGTATGAGTAGAGCCTGGTCGTCAAAGGTATAACTATTAGCACTAATAAGTTGTATTCAACTACGCTGGTATGTACTCATTCTCTTATCTGTGCACAGGATGATGAAATCCTTGTTAGTCTTAATAATGGAGAATATGGAAGAAGAATGAGAGCAATTTGTTTAAAGCACAAGAGTGCAAAACAATGTGCTGACAGATGGAAAGAGATTAGGGGATGTATGTATTTTATTTAAACGGCATTATTTTTGATTTCAGTTAGAAGTTTGGGTAGTTGGTTTTACGCGCGCAGTTTAGCCTAACATAACTCATATGTGTTATACATTCTCAACAGATATTGACAGGCCATTTACTCACTCTGAGTGTAATATGATTCGGCATTTTTACCAGACATATGGTCCACGTTGGAGAAGAATGTCCTTAGTTCTCCACCGCTCTCCTAAAATGATAATGAAATGCTGGCTTTCTTTAAAGACTATAGACGAAGAAGCTGCGAGAATACGGGGGAAAATGGCTGTCCAACGGCTTCTTTCTTAAACCTCTTCGGCATAACTGTTTTTTTATGGTATAAGTAATAAATAGAGATAAACACCATGGAAATAAGGCAATAAAATTGGTCAGGGAGAGCTGTTAAGATATATGCACAAGAAAACTTGTAAAGCTATGTTTGGTCTGTTTATTCGGTGACTCGTTATTAGAAAACGACACCAATTTACTATGTTATAACTAATAAATTATATACAGTATCTTATAACTGAAAAATCATGCTGGCACTGTATAGGACTAATGCTTGTGCAGACGAGAATAGGTAACGTTAAGGCAATATTCTTTATTCAACATTTACAGCGCTGTTAAATATGTGGGATCGTTTTTTTTTTGATGAGGCTTCATTCCAAAAATGGTAAAATATTACGTTCGATTTATTTAGTAAATTTTATGTAGATCATCCGACCCTGGATTAATTATATTGTCGCGGCTGATGCTATTCTTTAACCCCATTGGTTAGTTTCAGCTTCAGCCGGATTTCAGCATCAGCTCCCACAATTATTACTATAGTCATAAAGTGAGTTGGCAAACTCGACTTTTACGCTCGATTTCAAATAATTGAGTTCTTGACTCTCTCCACTAATACTATTCCTACTGTTAATAAATAAACTTTACCCGAATAATTTCCGGGTTATTGATAGCACAACAAAGCATCGTTAGACTTTGATCATAGAAACTTTGTTAGCCTGTCCAAATGAAAGAGCAATAAATGCAAGTTATAATTTGTGTTAACGTTCTCGCAACATAACAAACGAAGAATAAAATGATTGTATTATTCTTTGAAAGACGACCATTACGTATTCGATAGCAAAAAGTAATGGAAAATATCTATTTTCATAAGGCATATGTAAATATGATGATCAGCCAGACGTAGACGGGTCTAATTTAGGTGACATTGTAACCTTAACCAGTTATACTCCCAATTACGTCTAATATGTTTGATACTGTATAATATGTGTTATTCCTGTCTGTCTGTCTGTCTGTATTGATGGACGTGCATATATGAATTATATCATCCACCACACATCCTAGTCCTGCTGGAGGTGTGAGAACAGGATTTTCCCCAAACTTTGCATATTGCCAAATGAACCTTACAGTTTAACCAAGGCTGCTTTCCGAATAACACAAATGTATTACTATATTTATTATATCATATACATACTTCGTATAATTTGCAATATCTTAAGTTTCTAACGCACGGAAAATAATGTCTGTCTAGGTAGTTCACAATCCACCAATACTTGAAAGAACTATGGATTGTAACAGTTTATGTATATTATGTTACGAACTAACGGCATTATACAGCAATCGTATATGTAGTAGTTATTACACGTATTCCGAAAGCTTAACCCAACGAGTATAGAATTATTGATATTTTGCTTATTGTTATATTTATTATCTCTTAGTTCAACAGCTACGGTCTTAACTCTTTGCTGTGCGTCGAGTAAAAACTAGCCGTAATGGAATACAAGTAATTTGTAAAATTACAGTATTGTCATAGGCTAACGATATTCCATGATGTTGGAGGTTACCTTATACTTAGTAATAATCTCAACGGCTAATGAGAAAAGTTAACAGTGGAATAACTCGCAAGAGAAATTCTTATTTACTCAATTAGAGTCGTACCAAGGCAACCACATTATCCATACTCGATGGTTAGTGACGGTGACAATGTATAGTATGTAGGGTCGAGTTACTTTTTTGATAGGTTAAGTAAGATAAACTTTGCCGAATAATAGGGTCGTTTTGTTTTATCCGACGGTATCGTAAACGTAAGTGTATTGGGTAAAAATAATAATTTCATGTCGGTTAAGAAAGTTATTAAATGTTCGTCACAAAGGCATACATTGTGAAACACCGACGTTACGAGTCGCCGAAAGATTTTGACACAAATAATGTCTAACACAACATCGTTTATGTGTCGATTCTCAACGAATAGTAACGTTCCGCTGCCGATCGTCTTCAGCGATGATATAGCTTTGTTGCAATAAACGTAATCGTTCTTAGCAACTACGTCACTGTTGTGTAAACTCGTCGTTTAGCCGAGCAGTAACTACTTTTTCGTAACAGCCAGTTCGGGTTAAGTTGTTCAAGTTGTAAGAACGTTATTCGGTTTTTTTTAAACAGGTAGAGAGTTGAATCTTAGTGCTGCCGACCCTAACGAAAATAGAAATTTCATGTTATACAATATTATAAATTCTCAATGTACACAGAAAGGAACTCTTATTAATTAAAAATAAAATCTAACTGATGACATCAGCTCGGTATGATATCAAAAAATTGATATGCGTGAGGGAGTTAATATAAACTGCCATGTCGACTGGGTTGGTATAAGAAGATGGATTAAGTACATGACTACACACTTTCTTGCGATTATTGGACCAACGTAAACAGTGAACGTTGAGGATTGACAAAACTTGTAATGGTGCAATCGATTTGTTATAGTTGAAGTTGATAATAACAGAGTGGTCGACTACAAAAATCACACCAGTTATTTGATTGTGGACAAATTATTTTGTATATATGTTAATTGTTTATTCGTACAGTCAGCCCTCCATAAACGCACGCCTTACCTTAATATTAATCCCAAGTTCGGGAATTAGACATAAATGCACATCCTCCATATCTGTATTTCCACCAAAATAATATGTATTTAATCTCTCTAAATGCACGCCCGTGATTTTCATATGAGAATGTCTATAAAACTATTGATATTTCAATGTATTCTTTATGTCATTGTTGGTATCGAAAATATAAATAAAATAATTTCTTGAAGCATAATGTATTATGTTACAGTGTTTAGCATTTGTTAAAGCTAAAAGAGTCATCTTTGTCCATAGCCAATAATAGACATTAAAAGAACCATTATCAAATACTGAAGTCTATCAAAACCCATCATGTCTTATTCGAATCGTTATGATAATGCAAACTAAAAATCTCTACGTTTTTTGTAAATGTGCTAGAATTCTTCGTTTAATGAATGGAACTACTATCCAAAATATATAAACTGTTAGACTGAACATCAGAAATAACTCTAGTTTCAATAAAGCAATAATCGTATTATACTATTAAATTGCTGAATCCAATGAAATGCTAATCTTCATACATACATGCTCCGACCCACTCTCGAGGGGTGCATTTACGGAAAGTTGACTGTATGAGACAAATTTGATTTATTTCAAAGATGCCAAGTAATTGGCGTGCGTGATGTAACCGACAGTATGTATGACAGCCATAATTAAATCGAATAATTGAATACAAGCATGTATTATAATAATTATTCAATATGTTCGGGCAACGAAAGGCGCAGCTAAATGCATAAAATGCAAGCTTTTCTATAAAAAATCTTGTACACTTGAGCGATATAAACGACATTTTGCGTAGATGTTACCATGTGAAGCTAAATAAAAAAATATCAAAATCGTCATTGATTGGTAGAATAGAAAATTTGGGGCAAAATGAAGATAAAAAAAACTCACCTTTGTTTCAATCATGCATCAATCAAGATTTTGATAGACCAGCTCTCATACCTATCCAAGTCATCGTCTCATTCAATTTATGATATAATTAAAAACTACAGACAATACAACAAACCAAAGTACTTTAACATTGTTCAATAAAGTTTTTAATCGGCATTGAGCTGACTATAGCCGATGAGTCAAATCATTAAACTTTACAGGTTATTCGTTAATTGAGACGGCAGACTGTGCTGTTGTGATCAAAAAAAGTAAACAGCGATAGTAATTATTACTCAAGCCTTTCCCGTGGAACATTTATTCATAATCTCTCTTGCATTTCGGTCTTATTATTGCAGCACTGCATTTTGTTTCAGCATATACTTGTTACTTATTCTATTACTTTGTTGTTTTAATCACTCTTATTTCTCATTGAGAAAGGCTTTGAGCATTCTAGTAAATTACTTCGGCGCACTTGGCCGCTATGTACTAGTATATATGTTAATATAAACAGACATAATCAAGTTAGCTTTTACTTAAAATAACACCGCAACTTTCTTACGGTTGCACAGAGCTGCTTTATTTTACTCAACGTGCTTGAAGTGGTTTTTTCTCATCCACAGGTCTTAGAGCAAATAACGGGTAAAACTTCGTATACAGGTTTCAATAAGTTAATTAAAGCACTCTAAAAACGTTTAAGAATCTGCTGCCTTGGAGTAATTTTAAGTATGTAGGTTGCGGTCCAGTAATACTATATGCATCAGAGTTCTATAATCAACGCAGCCATATCTTTAAATAAACAACTAAAAGAACATACAGCAAAACTAAATTATTGTGTAACGCAAATTGGAATCAGCGTAATTTTCTAATAGCATCGTCGAACACTTAATTTGTAAATTGGAAACTGATTGGTCAAATGATATAGGTAAAATAAATTTAACAATCGTTGTTTGCCCTTGCATAATATTGCATACAAGATTCTAAAAAAAAAAGCCTCAAACGCCGTATAATTGTTCAAGAGCATTGTCTGGTAAGAATATTTGTTTCTCATTTGTGAAACTTTACACATGCTGCAAGTTTGAATTAAGAACACAGAATGACAAACCTTATTGTATGTATGTAATAGAATAAGTTAATAATAATCCATATCAGTACAGATACCTTGGAATCGAAATACTGAAGTGATATGAATGATATAATTAACAATCGCAACACAGATTATGTGTTCCTTTGACGATGCTCTCATTCAGAGACAATCATCGACCGACAATTTTATTTCATACCACTCATTTCACCGAGCATCCTTCAGTCCGACGATCATTCGTTTCGTTGATAGTCCATAAACACAACGTCTTAGGTAAGTTACAAGATATTGCTTAGCCCCTTTTTCTTTTAACATCGATTTAGAAACTGGCTTACGTTCATCCGGTCGAAAAGTATAAAGCTTTTAGTTATGGCGTAAATGAGTCTGTTTGAACAAATAATGTAGTGTTAATTACGTTAGCACAAATTACATCATTTGTGCGCCACACATGGCTGCCGCTGCGTGACGTCTAGTTTCATTGGTCAATGCACTCTGTGCATCAAGAGTTTCGTAGATCGTAACAAAAGGTACAACGATTTAAATGGATACTAAGTTTATTATAGAAAGCTTCAAAATATACTAATACGCTAAATAGAATTTCCCAGATACTACTTACGTACGCCTCCAAATGTTAAAGATCGGTTTGGCTTTGTCCTCTCCAATGAAATATTATTGGCATACGTTGCGTGGAACGTAAACAAATTTCTCGCTTGTGTAAAAGTCATCAAAACTGCATGAAAGCTTCACTGCCATTTTTGTAGCGTATATGCTGTGTAACAATGGTACAATGTACATCACACGTGTTTAAACGCGGAATCTCGAACTCCGTATATTAGATCTAGGCTTATAGCTGATACATATGGGTCTAATTGGCATTACTTCAGCTTTGTCTTATCAAATGTGTCAAACTCTTGGATACGTTGTGGCACACTCTATTACGGATTTATCTAACTGTACAAGGGATGGAGTCATAAACTGTTATTAAAGGGTGATTTGTATTCCAATAATGTCGAATACAGTTCATAGATTATTTTCTGACGGCTAATACAACAAATAATTGTTATAGAACAATAACCAGGGTTTAAGTTTCTGAAAGACTATTTTAAGTGTCAATTTTTAATTAAACCTCAACAAGGCTCTTAAATCTGATTGGCATTTGAATTTAGGAGCGCGAAAACTAGATGGACATACCGTAACACTACTATATTATACCACCGACCTTGATGCATAGCTAATTAAATCAAATATGAGTATGTATTGTAATAGTAGCTTTTTTATTTTTTATGTATGTTCGGCAACTATAACACAGCCACGATGACAAAAATGATATAAGAACAAACTTCTTGAACTTGACAAAAAGAGTGTGCGTAAATAAACCTACGTTTGATAATATGATGACTGGCGACCATTAAAACAGTAACGTAAGTAAATTTGATTTGGAATTAAATATGTTTTCCTTAGATACAATTTTATTAGACTAATATACATTATGTTTTACAATATCAAGAAGGCTAAAAATTCATTCTGTCGTTGGTCTTTTTTACAATCATACAACACTTCGGAGACGACTCTTATCTTGTTGTCAACTCAGAGCACTAAAATAAATATTTCCAAACTTATACAAACCCGAAAAACTCGTACCTTGTTGATTGCAACTACTGCCACATTGTTGCTATTAAAAGTATGAGTATATTGTGGTCACCAAAGGTATAATAATATAGTAATAGGTTGTAGTTGCCTACGCTGTTATTAACGTCTTATATGTACACAGGAAGATCAAACCCTCGTTCGACTTGGTAATCGAGGATATGGAAGAAGAATGAGAGCGATCTGTTTGAAGCATAAAACCGCAAAACAATGTGCGGATAGATGGAATAACATTCAACGATGTATGTATTTTTATTTGAGCAACATTATTTTTGGGTGTTTACAAGTGCTGTTCAGCCTGTAACTCTCTAATCTAACTCGTATATGTTATGTATTGCAACAGATGTCAACAGACCATTTACTCCTTTTGAGCGTAATATGATTCGGCATTTGTATAGGAAATATGGTCCTCGGTGGAGAAGAATGGCTGCAGAGCTCCATCACTCTCCTCAAACAATAATGGAATGCTGGCAGGTTATGGACGAAGAGGCTGCGAGGATACGCAGGCGAATGGCTGTCCAAAGGCTTCTGTCTTAAATCTCATCAGCATGATCGCGTTTTTTCTATAAATATAAGTAAATAAGCAATATAGGCAAGCAACAACTTGAAAAAAAATATAATCAAAAAGCAATGTATGATTGATATATGCACTATGCTAGTAGTCGATTAGATTAATTATTAATATGAGGGTATATATATACAAAAACATTTGTCGATTATCGGCCATATTTTTGTCGATCTGGGTCCAGAAGCGACTCGTTATAGGACAATTATGTATGATTATGTATGATTAATTATGATATTATTAATAAAATTATATACAAGACATTACATAATAATAACTAAAAATTAGGCCAATTATATACTGGACTGATGCTTCTGTACCGCTTGTTTTATATTTATTAATGTAGCATTCCATTCCATACAGGAAATTACACGATACGACTTACCTATCCTCATCGAACCTATCTCCTGCTTTACTTTATACATGACAATAAAAAAAACAAATTTATCTGATAAATTAAACTGAACAGAAAATAGCCATGTGTTTAATCATTAGCATTCTGTTAATAATTATGGTGACGGCAACAGAAGCGTTGTCTTTGATAATGCTGAACAAAATGTGAGATACCGCCTAATGGACAGTAAATGAGCGATGCCAATCAAGGGTGTTTCTATTTTCGCATTCATCGCACTTGTCAGCTGATTATCCACTTTTCCTTTGCATGACACACTCACAAGTTCGTTCTGCACTTTTTCTATTCGGCGGAAATCCTTGGGCTGATAACGCGTTTTACGGATGATCCGCTGAACGTGTGCCAAATTTACGATGAATTTGTACAATTCCAAGTGGATATTCTTTCTTGATATGTTATTAGTGCTCGCGTTGGCTATTCAACCTTGGCGAGTCATATGTGCGAGGTTATTCAGGAACAAGCGGTTTTAAAATTCAGTTGCTTCAGATAATGCAATATCGTTTTTCTTTATCCTCTGTATAGGTTCCACGTGATAGACGGATCACACCCTCATGAAGTACCATGACGTATCAAGGACGTCAGCCGACTCTTTGCTCACAACTACCAAGTCTGAATTCGTTGAAAAGTTTGCACCTTCAGACAGTATACAATTTTTTTATCGAAGCAGAGGATATCGAATGGTCGATATCAAATCAGTGGTCTTATTTCTTTATATTCACGTGTGAGAACTAACTGGTTTTCTCAGAGAGATTCAAGTCAACTTTCTCCGAAGGGTCTGTATTCACACGCAGAGTATTGGCAAAGCAAAATCGGCATCGGGGGGAAGTGAGGAGGGGTGTGTCAAAAGTCTTCTATCAAAAGCATTGACCGTATTAAATACTAGAAGCTTATGGGGAGGATACTTGGCATCTGATCAAAAACTTGGGCAAAATTTATGATAACTTGAAAAGAAACCGTGAAGGCGCTTGTTACGTGGGAGAATATATTTTATTTCATTGGCGTGAATCAATGATCTTATTTTATTGATTGCTTTAACTCTAATCAAATTTAAACATGACGCCTCATTGACAGGCTCGTGATATCGAGAAATGCCGATTTGTATCTATGCGGTCACTCCTAGTCTTTCATCGCCGCCAACTGCTTTTCGATCGCTTATAGATATTGCTGTCTCATCGTTTAATGAGAAAGACTTTTGCTATAACAATTGATCAACTGTGAACGAAAATACGAGAAATTGTTCCATTTTTGAAAGGAAAATGGAAGAATCGCTCGGCCGAGATGCCCAAGAAAGAGGCCTTCAAACTCAAGAGTAAACGATTCTCGATGATTCATAGATGAAGGATGCTACATTATCAATACTAGCCGATGAGCAATGTTTACTGTTGGAAATAAATTCTCGCATTTGTCCAAATTTCTATATGCTCGAAATCGGCCGCAACCATAATGCTTTGTAAAAAAATGGGCATACACTACCTGGACAAAAGTATCAGCACACCCAAAATTTATTAATTACACAGAATATTACATAATAATTATGCTGTAATCAAACATAAAATATATAAATAAAAACATTTAACGCCTTCTAGCGTCCTTGATTCTTAAATTGTATCACTTAACTAAAAGCCAACGCGGTAAAATTATTGGTATTTGCAAAAATAACCAACCAATATCCAAAATCAGTAAAACTCTCAAAGTTCACGAACAACTGTCTCTCGTACAATCAAAAGGTACATTAACAAAGACAATCTTGCTACTTGTCCCCGAACTGGGCGTCCAAAATTGTTGACATGCGAAAGTCAAAAAACGCTAAAAACTATTGTAAAGAATAACAATAAAAATTCTGCTGAACAAATCAAAAAAAAATTTATTGAAAAAACCAATATCAAAGTTTCCACCAAAACAATTAGAAAAATTGCATAAAATGAAAAATTTTCTCTTATGTGTCAGTTCGAAAACCTCTCCTTAGTGATCAGCAAAGAGAACACCGTCTAAGATGGTGCATCAAAAAGAAACTGGACTGTTCGAAAATGGAAGTCTGTCATATGGTGTGATGAGAGTAGATTTACAATATTTGACAATGATGGACCAGGCCATGTTTGGAGAACTCCAGGCACTAAATTTAATATTGCATACATGGTTCCAACTGTAAAATTCGGTGGTGGAGGACTAATGGTGTGGGAATGTTTTTGGGGTAAAGGGTTGGGTCCATTGGTAAAGGTGGAGGACAAAATGAGTAGATTGGATTTGAATATTGACGTGTGTGGTATAGCTGCCAAACTGCCTATTTGTACAATAAGTTTTTAGACGATTAAATAATTATCACGTGTGATATCATTAAAGTTACAGGACAACCTTTACAAAATTCTGCCTTCTGCTGAAACTCAGTTGTCCAAGCAAATGTTTATATACCGTAAACTCTCATGAATAAGAGCCCACCATGAATAAGGGCCCCCCTATATAAAAGTGGCGATCATGTGATAAGATCTGTAATGGTTTGAAAACGGTTAACCCCCCTACCCCCCTCATCACCCACTTTATTATCAACCAATAACGCCATATATGATATATGCAGCTCATGATTATGTAATAAACGAAAATAACGCGGGCAACTGTTACGTGACGATGGGTGGCTTAAAAACAATGCAAAATGATCTACAACCAACCCATCCATGAATAAGAGCCCCCTTATATGATGAAGGGGGGCCCTTATTCATGAGAGTTTACGGTATTTTAACGTGAAAAACTTTTATTCATAGCGAGGTGCTCATTAAAGCCCAGTTTAAGCTATTTTTTATTTTAATGTTAGTGATGCCACTACATTCGTTGGATTACAACAAACATTCATCATGCTTTTGAGGCTCAATTATAGCTGACCGGAGAAAAATAATGGTGCTGTGCTTATCAAATGTAATTTCACAAAGTTTCTACAAAAAAGCTAGACTTTTGGAAAAATTAATTTGTCCACAATTCTACTTGCAATGAAGACACAAAAATTTTTCAACAAGTCATTTTTCGCATAATAACAAAAATATCAATTGATTAGCTCTGAATTGTTAAACTACGGTGTATTCGTTATTTAAACAGTTTACTGAGTAATGGATGGTTAATTTTCTTAGTAAAAAGGATATCCGAAATAGGGCCAACATTTTTAAAATTCATTGGAAACATAAGCAATCTATCAAAAATGCTTACGGTTGATTTCAATAATTGGCCTGAAAAGTTATTAATTATGTTGAAAACTCGCAAAATGTAAAAAGCAAGCTGCTTCATAGTGTCGACTCAAGAGTCACGGGAGAACGGGTAATCTTCAACTCGTAGAAATTTAGCTACAGTATTTTCCAACGGTGCGTGGCTCTCCTAATCGTAGCTATAACACAGTAAGTGATCTTTCGCTACGCTTTAACACGTTTATTGTACCGTTCCTGGTTAGTTAGTTGGTTCGTTTTCGAAATCTGTCGTTTTTTTGTTGCCGGATTAGTTTAATAATCGATAACGTTTGATTTTAATAACATCAACGCGTTGTTACTCAACGAATAATTGCCACCGAAATAATAGCTGACAAGTTAGTGATCAATATTCTTCGTCATAGAGAGATTGGTGGTTCCGGCTATACCGAATAATTCAGGGAGTGGACTTTTAGCTTATACTTTCAACGTAAGTGGATACTCGTTTATAAAGAATTGAATAAATACAATGTCCAAATGGGACGCAATCATAATATCGACAATCATTTCGCGGACGTGATATTTCGTCTACAACTCTTTAACTGACAGTCATTTTACCGAAAGCTAATTTCACCGACAATGAATTTGGAATTGACATACCGTATATCGGCTTGGAATAATACGTACGTTAGATAAAGAGGATGTCTATTGAGAAATGTCAGTTACCTGTATGTATACTAATGTTATTAAGTGTGGGAGCTGATGCTGAAACTAATCAATGGGGTTAATAGAATTTGATCAAGTCATCGTTTCAGCATCAGGTATCAACCGCGACACTAATTATTGTTTGTATAATAAATAAACATTCGCGATTTCCAATACAGATCCGATCCGAGAAAATTGGCGTTAATTCAAACTTACTCGGTTTAAAGAAGACGAATGAGACAAAGATGGATTGAAAGCGAAAGAAAACGCAGGAAATCTAGTCATCGTCACAGATCACACAGGAAACATCGAAATTAAAATTAAAATCAAATTTTTTGCTAATTAGCTTTATAGCATATACACGTATTACTAAGCTAATAATATTTTATTCAATCATGCGATACATTCGAGAACACTTGTTTAACTGATTCAATTGGTACTGCCGCATTGTATGTTGAGAATAGTGACTAATTGTGACTATACATAACATTATCTTCATAATATACAGTACATACTTAGGATGCAAATCGTAAAATTGCGTCATTTCCGCCACGAACGACTAGGTCATGAGATTGACATTTCTTATTATTATCACAAATAGGTAGCTTGACAGCTATACCACACACGTCAATATATATGCCCATCTTTGCGAACATTTTTCTTACGAGTATTATGATTGCGGTCGATTTCGAGCATATAGAAATTTCGACAAATGCGAGAATTTATTTCCAACAGTAAACAGCTCATCGGCTAGTGTATTGATAATGTAGCATCCTTCATCCATGAATTATCGAGAATCGTTTTACTTGAGCTTGAAGGCCTCTTTGGCCGAGCGATCGAAAAGCAGTTGGCGGCGATGAGAGACTAGGAGTGACCGCACAGGCGTTTCTCTCGACTGTCAATAATGCGTTATATTTAAGTCAAAGTAATCAATAAATAAGATCATTGATTCACGCCGAATACATTCTCCCACGTAACAAGCGCCTTCACCGTTCCTTTTCAAGTTATCATAAATTTTTGCCCAAGTTCTTGCTCAGATGCCAAGTATCCTCCCCATAAGCTTATAGTATTTAATACAGATAATGCTTTTGATAGAAGGCTTTTGACACACCCCTTCCCCACTTCCCCCCGATGACGATATACACCCTTTGGAGAAAGTTGACTTGAAGAACATCTCCCAGATCGATCATAAAAAAGCTGAGTGTTACCAGCTAGTTCTCACACCTGAATATAAAGAAATTAGACCATCGGTTTGATGTCGACCATTCGATATCCTCTGCTTCGATAGCCGGGATAAAAAAGATTGTATACTGTCTGGAGGTGCAAACTTTTCAACGTATTCAAACTTGGTAGTTGTGAGCAAAAAGTCGGCTAACGTCCTTGATACGTCATGGTGCTTCATTATGACGCTTTCGTAGAATCGAGGATATTAAACGCAAAATATTGCTCAAATACTGGTGATCCGTATATCACGTGGAACCTATACAGAGAATAAAAAAAAATGATATGTAGCAACTCAATTTTAAAACCGCTTGTTGCTGAATAATAATAACCTCGCTCGCTGTCACAGCTGTCATATGACTCGCCGACGTTGAATACCAAAGCGAGCACTAATAACATTTCAAGAAAGAATACTCACTGAAGTTGTGCCCAAGATTCCCACAAATTCATCGTGAATTTGGCACACGTTCAGCAAATCATCCGTAAAACGCGCGTTATCAGCCTGACGACACCCAAGAATTTCCGCCCGAATAGGGAAAGTGCAGAACGAACTTGCGAGTGTGTCATGCAAAGGAAAAGTGGATAATCAGCTGACAAGTGCGATGAATGCGAAAATAGAGACACCCTTGATTGGCATCGCTCATTTACTGTCCATTCCATTAGGCGGTATCTCACATTTTGTTCAGCATTATCAAAGACAACGCTTCTGCTGCCGCCACCATGGCTATTGTCTGTTCATTAAACACAACCATCTTGTGCTTACCGTTCAGTTTAATGCTTATCCAGATTGACTGCACGCTTTCTTACTTAAGACGTATAAGCCAAAGTTCCATTAATCAGCGTAATAAATGTACACTAGCAGCAAAATGCCCTCGAATTTGATTTCTGAATGCAACAACTTCATTGAGTCACATGACTAAAATTTTCAACTGTATTAGTATGGGCCGACCGGACCGCTTTCACAAATGGACAAAGTTCTTGACCACAGCCCTCGTCGCAATCCCCCAAACTTTTTCGAATAAAACAACAGTCAATATTTTTCGGCCACAGACTCACTGTCACTGTTTGCAGAGCATACCCAGTGAACAATAACACATTCACTCTGTTTTACATAGCGGGCGATTGGGCCTTTGAATTCGCCCCTCATTCAATTTTTCAACACTCTATTGCATATTCTTGGAGATTTTCCATTAGATTGTTCCGTCGGAAATTTTTTAAAAAGTTCTATGACCCATTGTCATTGAAGCAAAAGATAGCCGAATAAAATGTAGGTACATGCAACCTAGTTGCGGGGTATCGTAAGGAATATGATGTCATAGAGGATAATTACCATGTGTTGGGGTCGTACACTATGCCACTTTCTTATAAATTTAGTAGTAAAATATTTGTTATTGTCAAATTAGAACTGATTATATAATCACTGACTCCCTGCATCACATCACTCACACTCTTTCTCTCTCTGTACTTGCCTTTCTTTAAAAAGAAATTTCATTGATTGATTGGTTGGCTAATTGTAGTATGTTTGCTCAACCATGTCGAACTTAGTTGAGCTTAGTAATCTACCAAAGCCCTCCACTGTAAGCAAGGGAATGCGGCTTCCGGTGTTTTTGATGCAATTTTAGTACGTCGTTACACAATTCTCTCGATTTACATGGGTATATTCAGCCACTGCGTAAATATTCATGCGAGGGTTGCGCCGCAGGCACATTGCGACGCCTAATAGGGCAAATAAATGAATATCCAAAGATGATCTGATAAAATCTCCATTCGGCTGTTCACATATAGACTTGTTGATCGTATAATGTGATGCCCGATGCATTCTTCAATATTTGCTTATACAATTTGCCCATTTTCCGTGTGAATCGATTTATTGTATAAACCTTTACGATGGCGCATGAATATGAACAAATGCAACATGGTGGCGTTACTTTTGCGTAATTTGAAGTGTGTATAAAACGGGAAATCATTACGCTAACAATACGCGTAAGCGGTATATACACATATCAGCCTCAGATGACAATGAATGGCAGTATGCGTTTGGTCAACAAGACGTAAAAAGTGATTTAGCCAAATTAATGCGTAACTGAGGCGTAACGGTTGATCTTGATTCTACTAGCCCCTTTATCGGGACAATAAGAACAGATAGAACGTTCTGTCGACATTAAAACTGATCGAACTTGGAGTTGTCATTGGAAACAACAATTGAATGACGGATATGATACAACAAGGAGGCGATTCGTATGCATAATCTATGTCGTATAGTATTATTCGTCATGCAGATAGAGAGTCTTTTGTTGCGTTTGATTGTTTGTTTCATTGTGTCTCGTAAATGTACCGCTTTTTTTCTTAATAAAGTTTGTTCGGAAGAATACCCGGTTGTTATGGTCCATTGATTTCGAGAATTAGAGTTTGTCATTAGTATCGGGCTATTTTTGACAAAGACAATAAAACCATTAACCGTTAGTGACATGTCCCCGAAAACTAAAATAGTCTAGATGAATAGCATCGGGTAAACAAAGGAAACGCCTTGACAATACACGATCATTTACGTAGTTGGTGATCGTGTATCGTATAACAATTTACGGATTGTCAACTGCTCGTTGGATGTTTATCGAGTCCAAGAGTCTCTTGTATTCTTTACGTGGCCGATAATATACATTTTTTAGCATTCAGACCTGCATCAGTCGCACTCTAACAGTGTCACCACCAATATCATTACACTCGCAATAACTATTGCAATAATAAGAAAAGGGTTGTGTATTTACGTATATAGGGAATAATAATACTATTGTTTATGTTATTGGTTCTCAAAGTTAGAGTTTTATTCTTATGTATTTAATCGCGCGCTTCACAGGATAAAGTGACGTCAATACATTTGCGTGCTTTAATTTAATTATTGTTGGCAAATCAGGAATAACGATAAGTCTATTTCTTTTCCAACTTTGTTTAATTATGGTCAGATGCAAGTTTTGTGCATTTACCCAGTAGTACATTGACCATTGATAGACACATTTATTCCGAACCGTGTGACACTAATAACAAAAAATAACGAAAAAAAACATACAATACACACACACATATACACGTACATACACATACACATATACATATACACATATACACATATACACATACAATACTTACACATATACACATATACACATAAAATACTAGCTTGGAACATTAATGTTTGCTTTCCATCCTATCATGAAATCAAAGACTGGCACAACCAACGTTGCTGCCAAAAAAGGCATGGAAACGCAGCATGACAAAAACTGCAGACGAGAATAATATACAATGTACTTGTCCAAAATCATATACATTGTACTCGTCCCAATGCAACTAATAAAGACCCTGCGAATCAAGTGATTATAATATCAAACCTCATTGTTATTCTACATAATTGATACATTGACAATTTGTCTGCGTTCTACTAGACTGGTCGAAAACGGCTCAATATAATGATACTTGACAGTGAAAACATGGTGACTGCCAAAGGCAATGTACATGTGCACGACAAATTCATTACGGGTAAATCGATCTTCTCTGCGACAGAAGCATCGTTCTCTCCTCTCCCCCCCCTCCCCAAAAAGAGAGTAGTGATGCAAAAGCTAATTGGTGTAACGTTATCGCACGAATCTTGTCACATGTTTCTTTGATAAACGACAATTGGGACAGGCTTATGTAATAAATTGTGCATCGATAATCATAGGGGGGTGGAAGATCTCTTTCATAATCACGAAAAACGGGTCAGGTACAACGTATTTTATGAGAGTAAGGAGAGGAAAAAAAAGGAAGGTAAAAAAAAAAAAAGTTTACGAGAACGTTTGTTTGACTCTCGGAACTTAATCTGATTGGAAAGAGTTTGTTACCATTGACCTGTTTACAAATCAAGGGATTGAATATAACGTTTCAACCCTTATTATCGATAAGCGCGCTCTGGTCATGCAAACATCATTTACACGCATTAACTAAATAACAAATAGAGCATGTATTCCTTTGATAGAAAGTAGTATTAATTTAGAGTTTTTTTTTTTCCTGAAAAATATACAAGTCATTGTTAACTTTAGAGTTATTGTAACTCCTCGTACAACGGCTTTTTGACAAGTCTAGAAGAATTGATAACAAATTAATGAAACGCGCGCTAAGCGTAATGACATTTATTATTAAGATTATCATTAACGGTCTGATACATGTATCGTCTGATTTTGATTTGCTCCAGATTACGCATCCCACACAGGTCTATCACGGCATTTAATGATTGTTATATATCTCACTCTTACTCTACATACGTTCTACATACGTTCTACATACGTTCTACATACTAAAATACTCACCCTACATATTCTCTTCTCACACATTGTCCCACATGTAGCTTTTCCGTGCATATATGCGGTATTATATTCTCACGCTGTAAAAAAAAATATTTTTTTGTGATTGACAGATGGTATCGAATATGTGGGGGGAGGGGGGGGAAGTGTGGGAGTGGAAACTTGTATGGAAATACATGCGAAACGTAACTTTGAACATGTACGTCACGTGTATGTCAATGTATGGACTGCAGAATCGATAGCATGAGATTACATAATGTTACCATATGCAAATACACCAGTAGACTATTGCTATGCCGTTCTCTCTTTGGCATGTAGTTAGTTTTTTCCTGATCATCCTGCTTTGTTAATACAATCATTGTCGTATACCAATCTTTATGTAAGTATAATTTCATCACATATTATTAAAAATGCATCATAATCATGTCGTAGCCAATTGCTCCAGACAATTGTTGATTGTATTTTTCTTGCCATACTCGTTGAACGCCGCATTTTAACCCCGAAGTAAAATGATTTCATAATGCACACTAAATAATCTTGGCGAATTTTCACTTGCGACAAGTTTAAGAAAACATTGGATGAGTAATATGCTTTTAACCGTATGGAGCTTTTACTTTGCTGTCGCCACTCGTGCACTTGCGAGCAAATTTAAGAAAAAATGGGACGAGAAACAAATTGTATTATGCCTTTAACCGTTGGGCTTTTTTACTTTGCCATCCCCATTTGTGCTTGGCAATTGCACTCGCGAACACATTCAAGAAAACATTGGATGAGAAACAAATCATGTTATGCCTTTAACCGTTGGGCTTTTTTTACCTCACCATCGCCACTTCTTGGCGAAGTAATGTTGCCTTAACCACCAATCAAACTCGGTTACTCCAAATCTGTAAGATCCGGCATGTACGATGTCGATCATTCCATGTAACCGATATCTTGGCCCCGCAAGTATTCTATTGACAAGTACTATATTTGTTGAGACATACGATAAAATGGAAATGCTTGTAACGGATGCATTGCAACAACAAATATATTGTATCTATGTTATATATTGTGATTCTGGATTACTTGATACGTAATAGATTAATGAACTTTTATAGAATTCCCAAATAATGACAATAGTAATAATTAAAAATAACAAGTTATCGTAATCAGAAATTATGCAAGACCAAAATACGCATGCACAAATTGCTTCACAACTGCTTCCACGCGATCTTTATTGTAACAAAAGTAGAGACCTGGCCATATCGGTGATGTTGTGCTGTGTTATATTGTATTGTGTAGTGTACTGCAGTGTACTGTAGTGTTGTATTGTATTAACCCTTTATTTTTCTCTAGTCAAAAAACCGAATAATCGAAACGACATGCTTTCCGAAAGATCTACGTAACCGCAAACTTTGTGGATAGAAACACACGCGCTTCTTGGATGTTATATCAAACAGAAAAAGCTCATCACTATTGAATAGTAACACGAATTTCTATATAAAGTTTGATTCTTAATACAGTACTTTAAATTAATATTACTAAACATGCATAGTCATCGTTTATCATCGGTTACTCAAATCTCAAATGTATAGACTCATTGCAATTGATCTTACGTAAACTATACCGTTTTTTCTATCAGTGTAACAAACGAAAGTCAATTGTATAGAGTAGGATGGACACTAAAATAGCATATTCGCCGAGTCGGATAAAGATTACCGCTAAACGGAATAAAGTATGTTGGAGAAGGGTCGAGCATATAGGCTCTTATGATGAGATATAATTGATCACAATGATTTAATCATTCATCAAAAGCAGTTAAGGGTTTGTTGAGGTACGGTAGTGGTTTATCAAGAACAAGGACATGAGAGTAAACAACAACAAACAAATAACACAATAACATCGTGAGCAAACAGTTACTAATTTCTGTTAGTAATTATTTATGTCGATCGTAGTGAACGGTCCAGATTTTACCAGCAAAAACTAGCTGTCTAATAGTAATAGTGACTAATGTATACTTAATTTATACGCTCGTCACTTGTGATCGGATTGAATTTTGATTGGTCCGCTTTGGGCAAATCTATATCCCGATTTAACCAAATAAAGGGAAAACAGGCTCAGCCGATCTCAAAAATCTCTTCCATGTAGAAAGTGAGATTTACACTTTTTCGCTTATAACGACGTCAGTGATAGACAAGTGTGGTGCGCTCAAAAGGAGCTATCGTCATTAATCATTTTGTCCTCCGGTTGCGGCGAAACTGATGGATAAACCTTCTTCAAACCCTAAAACTCCTGAAAAGTGAAAAGAAAAAAAAAAAGGGAAGCAAGCAAGCAGCAGCAACGCCGTCGTTTATCGATATGTCCATCCATTAACAAGATAAGTCATAAACCAATTGTGTCATATTCATCACCTTTAATCCGGATGATTGGTTCAAACCTTATGCAAAAACCTTGTATGACCTATATATTATATATATTATCTAAAATAACATTTTATTCGCTGAGAGCATTGATCTATTACCTTTTTTATATTCATCTGTTCTCTTGCATTGATTATGCAAATAGCAGGGGGGGGGGGGGGCGGAGAAAGGGAACATTGACAATAGAATATAGACCAACCTTATGGTTCAAATAATGCATTCGCTCTTTAATTATGGGGTTATTTTTATAGTAATTTATATTACAAGTAGTTGGCTATGTATTGTAACAACCTAAATCAGTACAAATCATCTCTCGCAATCAAATCTTAAACTTGTTTCATTGATTGAGAGAGAGAAACGATCTTGATAAGACTTATCGGGAAACCTGAGTGGAATGTTCGGTTATCTATTTGTTCATCTGTTTATTTCTATTACTATTATTTAGTTAACCCGGTAATTGTCAATCGTCGTACTGAACGGAAAGCAAACTAGTGCGATACTGTGCGACATGTTTCGCTTCTAGGCAACTATAAGTAGCAACGGGGAGAAAAGGCTTGACAACCCGAGTGCATTTATTAAGAAATCATAATAGTCGACACAAGATGATATTAATAATGTATGTATCAGGACACATGATGTTGCGATTCATACAAGATTAAAAATAGTACAGATGATGTATTCTCAGACGGTTGTATAATGAACATGAGACCAAACGGTAACAGTAAACACATCGACATTCTCATGACTGCAATTTGTAAACATATGATGTAGATAAGATAACGGTGGGACATTTGATTGGTGGTTTGTTTCCCATCATGTTTATCGACAGATGTTCCTAAATGTCGACTTTATGTTATGTTGCATAAACACAAACAAAAATATTGATAAATGACTATTACGCAACGACCAAATAAGACATCCACATGGCAAAGCTGTTCCAAGACCCAAATATCATTTTTTGTTTAATATTTTTTGAAAGGAAAAAAATAGTTCTCACACATTCAACATAAATTTAGCGCAAAAAACTGACAACGTGGCAAATCAGTTATGTTGACCATCAAAAAACGGATGGTATCCACGTGGCAGAAGACGTTGCGCTTCGTGTTTCTCATACCTCATCTTGCGTTATGCATTCGTCATCGGTGGAATAAGTATAACAAGAGTCACGAGTTGGCTCACGAGATCAAAGAATAAAGAAATCAAGTTGACAAATACGTAAATCAAGGACCAATAAAACAACATAGAAAAGATAAGAAGCTTTATTCATAACAATAATGATACTGTTACTACGGTACTATTACTACGGACAGCAACAACAACAACAACTACTACTACTAGAAGAACAACTACTACAGTATAATAGACGATAAACAATCAACATCTTTTTCGCTACACATGCAGATAATTACCTGTGCGTTTTGGTCTATGATACCCTTCAAGGTATGGGCATTGTAGCTGCATCTACGATATCGCATTATCATTTGGAATTAATATATGCTTTTTGGGACTAACTAAAATCAACTACAGTTCATTATTACTCATAAATTAACCGTTACTCTTTTACACTCCTTAAGCTTCACACACATTATACACCCCCTCCTTTTCCTCCTCCTCCACCACCACCTCCTCTTACCAACCCTTTTCCTACCATCTTTTTGTTATCGAATTGTATTGCACGTATATTTACTAATATATTCAATCGACGCCATCGTATTTCAAAGAGCTGTCTAGGGTCAATGCAGTAATAATAAACGCGCAAGCTTTTAAAGTTCCCTATTCTTAGTAAACTTGAACAAACTCTTCAGATCTTGCTCAAATAAATCTATTATGTTTTTTTATATTGACGTATAAATTGAGATCGGCGCATTTGAAATATTTAACTGTATAAGTCGGTAAAGTAATTATTTATGCAGATCAAATTTATATATAAGATGCATTTCCCCTGTTCGAGCGAGTTTTTTAAAAAAAAAAGAGAAATCAATCATTCGATGCCATATCCATTCACCGTTCCGTTAAACAATTTGCATCAATTCGCTCAGAAGCACTCGCAATTCCCTTTATCTCCTCCGCATTCTGTACCCCATTCTCCAGCAATAATGGCCACGACGCTAGGAAATCCAAATCGCTCTTGCGTTTCTTGTAAAAAGAGAAAAGTTAAATGTGACCGAAAGGTTCCGGCATGTACGTCGTGCGCAAAATCAAAGTTACGATGCTGTTATACGTCATATTCTCCTCCGGCTTTTGCCGAACAGTCTATGCCTGTAACGGACGAGGACGAAGGACTCAGAATGTTACGAGAACGAATTGATCAAGTGGAAGCTCTCGGAAGGGAGAGGTTCGACAGACTCTACAAATTACTTATGGAAATTAAGGACTCTAAATCTATGCAAGCAACAAAAGTAAGTAGTTTATACTGGCTGATTTAATGTATCATGTTTGACATAGCTTTTAGCAGACATCGACCACATGGAAACATGATTTAGTTTTACTTAAACACACCCACACACATATACGCAACACATATACACATGTTTCCTCTCCTTTTCCCTCTCTTCTTGCTGTTTAAGACTTGTGTTTTTTTATTTTTGATAAGCATATATTCAATATGTCTCCAATATTATTTGGTTCATTTGTTCATAGATAGAGGACATACAATCAGACCTATTTTGCTCATCGACTGTGGATTTCACTCGATTATTACAGGACGAAAGAGACTACGACCCCGCCGTACTCAACTCCGGTCAGCCTGCGGAGCAATACTATCCTTACATCATTGATGACGACTACTTGCTGCGCCTAAACGTTACCAATCCAATAACGACACAATCTCAAGTACAAACGCCGCCATCCCACATTCGACCAAGAATGCGATCGTCGGCCGTAGTTCACACGACAAATTCACATTTTGCACCATATCCAGCCCCATACGCCAGACGGCAAACGCAAACGCAACCGCAACAACAGCAGCAGCAGCAGCAGCAGCAGCAGCAGCAACAACAACAACAACAACAACCGCAGCAACAACAACCGCAACAACCGCAGCAGCAACAACAACCGATAGAGCAACCTGTCGTCATGTCCTATCCTTCTAAGCAAGGTTTGCATTTATGTTAATTGTAAACTCGGAAGAGATTGTCAACATCACAAACAAAAAAAGGTAATAATTTTTTTCATGCGTTTGTATTAGAATCCAATTATATTCCATACAAACGAGCCATCGTCACCTTCAATTATAACATCAACGGTCTGCGCAGACTAATGGGACCAATCATTGCTCCGATTCTACATGCAATGACAGCAGGTTCTCCGCATCAATTCCCACTCGCCGGATTCACCGATGTCTCCCTCTTACTATTCTGGATACGACACTTTTTCATCTCCTCCCTGGACCAGAAACAAGATCCATCACTCGGTGGAATACTCGATCCAACCAACGAGCTCGTACAAGTAATCCCATTTGATAACGAAGCAAACGAACTATTTTTGCACCAACGATACGAAATCGTTTTCAAAAGACTCTACCACCCGTCTCCGACACTCTCTTCCGTTTCGTCAATATCATCTGCCAGCACGTACATGCCCGTCGGGGGACCTACTGTCGGTAACGGTGACTTTGCGACGACCGAGTTTAATTTCGAGGATGATGTGTTTGATGATAACGTCAGTTATTATAGCAACAGCAGCAGCAGCAGCAGCTCGGCAAGCGATGCCAGCGTGAGCGACAGTTTGGATGAATTGATGCTGAATAAAGTGTACTCTTTGATAAAAAGATTCACAAGGAAGATGCCTTGGACGAAAGAAGGTTTTTCTTACTTTGAAGCAGTCGGGAATGGAGTCTTTCACGACGTGGTAGTGGAAATGCGAAGAGATGATGATGGAATATCTTCGCTGTTGGATCTAAATACGCTGGACGTTCAGCAACCACTTTTGTCGTCTGCTGACGCAGAAGATAATCTTGTACGCGGAAGATTGTTCTTTTAAAGAGTGATCGCGAATAAAGTGGAGGAAAGGAAAAAGAACTAGTATATGGGATAGCAAGAAAGGAGAAATTAATGCAAGATTACGAGTGAGGTTGACAATTTGTTTCAAGTTTATCTTTTCATCGCACGCACATTGGACTATTTTCGATCAAAGAAAAAACATCGCTTTATTTTTTTATCTTTAATCTTAGTTGGTATTCCCATAATACGTTTAATTTTTTTATCAAATTTTTAGTATATAGATGATAGTCGTTTCCTACTTACTTGTATTGATTGCTCTTCCCCTATCTATTCCACTTATATAATTACTTCCGTTTTCACCTCACTCCCCATATAATATTGTAAATATAATACTTATGTCAACATAGAGAAGAAAAAAAAAACATGCCGGGCATGATAAAGTCAATATATAAATGAAAGCTATGCTCAAAAAGAGAAAAAGAAAAAGAAAAGAAAAAATTTTCGTAAATCGCATTCACCACCGTTGACGGTAAATAAATTACCGAGTAAGATCAGTACGCTAAATTAGAATGCGGGGAACGAGGCATAAGATTTCATATGTACACATCACGATGAACCGTAGACGAAAAGGGGGATAGAAAAGGTATAGAGCGAAAAAAGAAAAAGAGCAGTGATATCGTTAAAATTTTTACTCGCGGTTAATACGATGGGCGAGAGTCGGGTTGCCGAATTTTCTTGTACTTAATTTTAGACGGAAAAAAGCAGCTTTTAGAATACGGTTATATTTTTAGTGTTTAAAAATTATTATTATGATTTTTATTAAAAGGAGAAGAATATATGGACAATAATGGCAAAGCAAAAATATTAGAAACAATAAATATAAATATTATTTCAATATTATTTATTATTAGTGGGCGGTTTTATTATTTATGCCAAGTCGCGGGGAAAAGGCGGGGATAATCCGTCTGGCGGACTATAAAATAAAATGTCCAGAACCTTATTCGGATTTCTAAATCTGTACCCGACTATTTTGTTAGTCAGTGTATAATTCTATATTGGTAATATTGTCACGATACAATACATTTCTAGTCAATTAAATGTTTCGAACTCTTCTCCCTTGTGTTTCATTTTAGGCTTACAAATTCTGCGAAACCGCGCAAGACGCGCTGTTCATTGCAGACGTGATTGGAGGGTGCCCCCAGCACTGATTTTTCCTTCATTACGGTACCGACAATGAACGGTCGAACAAAGCGATCGTGCAACACTGAAAAACAAAAGTTTGTCGATTTACATCCAATAAGGACAAAATAGGGTATACGGTAAACAATGGGGTCTTGGCATTCGATCCTTTTTTGTCTTTTTGGCTTGGCTTTCACTCATTACCGTCATGGGCATTTATTTCGGGCCGTAGTCATATTAGTCATGAGGAAAAATAAAAATAATTTTCTTCTTTCTTTTATCAGGCGGTCTTCTTATCTTTTTCGGCACGGTCATCCGAAACACGGAGTTTTTCGGTAAAATTATTCACGTTCTATAACGAAGAGTGGGAAGGAATTTATTATTAATAGCTTGTGCTTTATTCGGGAAAATTCTAGTCTTGAAAAATACTACAAGCTATTATTGCAACTGTTCCGTACTTGGCGGCTTTCTAAATAATTCGGTACTGAATCTGCGTCATGTACAGTCTCTAATTAATTTTGACTGTGAATGGCGCGAAACAGTCTTGTATGCGTAGTTATTTGTATGAGCGTAGTGCATTTATAATTGTATATTAATTTGCCGTAGAATTAATCAGAGTAGTAACCATCAACAATTACATGACTTAAAATATGACCCATAATGTATAGTAAAATTTTATGAAAATTGGCAGTACAAATTTGGATATCAGATATGAGATAGTTTTATTAGCTATTACTGTACGAAAGCGTTAGTAAAGTGAGCGGTTATATTATTATTAAATATTATTATTACGTAAAACAGACTTGTGAATTTTTTGAGATTTGCAATTTATATTTGGTAAAGGTTTTTCATTCCTTGACTCTTTCCGTCGAAGAACATGAAAATATAGTTTATCTTGAATTTGAGTGAGCAAGTGTAAGTAAATAACTATGAAAAATTATGTACCGCTCCATTACTATTACGCAGTATTTCGTATTTGAAATGGCGTGACAAAATTTCAGTTGTACGATTCGATCATATGACTAAAATTTTCCGATTGTATGACTAAATTTTCCGATCGCCTGATTAGCTTTCCCGTAATTATAAAAAATACTATAGTTATTTAACAATAAAAAATCACGTGCAAAGTTTTTAAAATATTCGGACTTTGTTGTCCGGTATACCTCAAAAACGCGCTTGTCGTAGCCAAACCCAAAAACGTATTTACAGATATTATTAATCTTTTTTGTTTGTGACACTGGCACATCGGATGATCATAATCACATCACCTGATCCGTATGAAGCAATTTGCTTTTTATTCGGTTGTTTACGATCAAGTGATGTGCGCTTCATTGTTGACACACCCCAATAAATGATGTGACGGAATTTATCGGAAAGCAGCGCACAACTGCAAATCACGCCGATCAGATATATGTTGTATATTTTAACTTCTGACACCTGTACAATATATTATATAATTTAATATAGACAACAAGAGTATGCGTTTCAGGAAAAATACTCATTTTCCCAAAGGATCCACAGCGTTCTTTCCAAATACAAATAAAACACCCATTTTATCATTATGGTTTAGTTTCCTTTTGAGTACATTGTTTGCCTGTTTTGAGCATGTTACCGGTGAGTTCATATACATGTACAATATTGCATACCTTATCTACATATGACTCAAGACATGTTTGTTCTTAATTACGATCAAATTTATTGTTATCTATATCTATATCTGGTATTATATGTAGCTTCCGAAACATTAACATTCTAAACAGTATTAATGGCATTATAGGCCGATCGGAAAAATGATTCGGAATAGATATACACAAGGAACAAGGAGATTCCATATTCCAAAAAGATTTCACAAATGACGAACACAGCGATGGTCGTCGATATAATGATGACAAGATACTAAATTGACTAGCTTGTTTGATCATTATGTTACTAAGGTTAAATGTACGGTCTCTCCATTGTCATTTGAGAAAAGTTGCATGTTCCGGCGTATGCCAAGATGTCTTTCAAAAGATTACTTGTATTACGTCTAATGACTTGCACATCCCGACATATGCCAAGATGTCTTACTTGTATTGCACCTAATGACTTGCATATCCCGTCGTATGCCAAGATCTTTCAAAGACTGTTTATATTAATATTGCGCCTAATGACATAAGACTATTCCAAGACCTATCAACACGATCACGCTTAGTTGTATATACCGATTTTTTGGGTCTGGTTCATTTCCCCGATAATTACACGTACTTCCCCGATAATTACTTCCCCGACAGTTTATTTCCCCGACAATTATTCCCAATAAATATTTCGACACTAGTTATTACAGGTGCAAACATTTGATTTTTACAGTCAACCATTTCCATTTGATATTTTCTTCAAGATAACTTCAGCAGGAATTGTCGGAAAAATGATTGACGGATAAATGAACGGATTCCCCAATTTTTAACCCGTAAAATGACAAGCCTTCAGTCACGTTGACTTTATGATATCATAGTTTTTATTTGATAAAGCCGCATCTTGAGATCAAATCGTTGACATAATAGAATGCCAATTAGCAACCACGTTGATAGTGTTTTTATCAATCGCGCGCATACAGTGAGAGATTTGGACAATTTCTTGCTACGTGCTGCATTGCGGTAATGAGATCTTTGTATTAATTTGGGCGCGATGTTGCAGATACACATTTCTCTTTTGACATAAATGCATCGAGGGCCACACATCGTTGAGTAAAATGTATTTTCAATATATGTCACCTACCCTCCGCGTTTTTCATCCGGTTGAAGCTAATACTTTGGTTTTTTTAATAATTATCCACAATTTGAAAACTCAAATCATCGCAAGACAACCCAAAGTTGCATATTGGCTCTACGCATTTATTGTTAGTTACATGATTGCTATTATGATCAGTGTTCTTTTGTTTCTATTTGAGTAATAGAGGACTTCTATATATTTTAAACTTACGCTACATTGACCGAAGAAGCAATGGACAATGGTCTAATGGTTAGATAAAACATTTACTTCCAAAACAAAGTACTAAGTATGAATATAATATGAAAATTTATCTGGCGTCACAAGTCGCGTGCCACCGCCGCTCTGCTGTCGCGTTCTTCGATCCACCCTACATTAAGTGCAGGGCATTTTCTATTATAAATAGTATTGTTAAAGTCTGTGTATTTGAATTAAATTCTCAATTAATAGCTTGTTTTAAAGACTGAAAGCTAAAAAGTTTATTGATACATATGTTACAATGTTAATAATAATCAGTTTGTTACCATTATATTATTTGACAAAATTCATTGATTAGACAACACAAACACCACCCACCCCATTTTCGATCAAGTGCTGGTTTATTTCGCTAATATTTGTTGACATACGCTTTACTTTTGTTATACGTCGAACAATACTCCATAGGTTTCCTATAGACTGGCGTTGTAAGCTTCAGGAGATGTCTCGACAAGAAATGTTTTAGCAAATACGACACATATGCTTTCCGATCGGTATTTTGGTAGAATATCCAACGTCAAGTCAAGCATTCTTTGTATTTCTGGATAAGGTTGACGCATAAAATTTCCGTGTTAATAGTCTCAGTGTAAAAATCTTTGCTAGATTTATCAGAAAAACAGAGTCGATTTCCGATTATCATGCAAGTCCATTCAGCCTTATGATTATCTGTAAGCATTGGTGTGCCAATTAAAGAGAATTTTTTACCCAAGTTTCTTCAGTCAACTTCTCATTATCATGTGGAATATGCGTCCTCATTCCAGATTATTGTTGCAAACGTATCGCTTAAGCTTACGTAATTTTCCGGGTTCCAGTTTTTTTAGAAATACCAGATAAGCGGAGAAGTTTTTTGGGAAAACGCAC